AAAAAAAAAAAAACATAAATTATTTACTGAAATGGAAGTTCAGCTTACGGTAATAATGCATTAGTTCAGCTAGCCATGAAACCTGTTATAGGGTAATAAATTTTTTTTTTTATTTTCCATCCTAAAAGATATTTGCCAGTAACCTACACATGACCTTGAGCTGATCAATTTTCAAAGATGTCACTGAAGGCAGGGCATAGAAGGAAGGAGAGAAACAGAGGGTTTTTTTTTTAATAGCTCAGTTTTAGGCAATTGTCAGCTAATAGTTGTCATCTCACAACCAGCAGGAAAAAAGAAATGAAAATATGTATTAAATTTCGTATGTTGTAAGGACCAGGCCTTAAAAATGCCTTTGAAATCGAGCTTTTATTTGATAAGATACATAAATCTGAAAGCTAGCGAGAAGGCCTATTTGGGGACACAAGGAGTCCCAATTGCCCAGACCATTTGTCATTTTTCATGAGCCTGGAGCCTTGAAGAATAAAGTCAGCCGGTGGTGCTGTCTTCATCTTTAAAAATGTTGTATTTATGGACCAAGATCGATTTAATGTATCTCACAATGTCTCTGATTCTGCTCTCGGCCATTTGCTGACTAATGTCTCCAGCAGAGAAGAGCAACGAGCAAGTTCATGAATTATGACTTTGACATTCTCTTATCAAGACTATTCTTTATTTTAAGAGTGTCTGCTTTGATTAAAGCCATTAGAGCCAAGAGAAAATAAAAATGTGTCTGGATTTTACATGCCTTGCATTTCATAGCAGGAACCTGATGAAGTCTACATCTTAATTCTTACACTACTGAGGCAAGTGATAAGGACAAACCTTAAAAATTAAACTACTTCCTCCTCAAATACCTGGTTTATACTTGTGCACTTTTTCTCAAAAACATTTTTATTTCTTGACATAACCTGATTGCTGCAAAAATTATTTCAAAAGTGGCCTGGTTGAAATATGTGTTGGGAGATGGGTTATGAGTGAAACTAGAAACACCAATACCAACTTATTTTTATATTCACTACCATAAGAAAGATTGCACATGAAATATACATGACAGGAGTGACAAATTATCTAAGACTCACAATGAAGGTGACCTAATGATTATTTTCAAGCTTTAAGAGAAAGCTTCAAGGTCTCATCCTCCTCAGCTTAGCCACAGTTGTGTGGCTGATAGTTTGCATTCTTGAAATGGCCAATGTTTTTCCAAGTCTGCCACATGAAATCCTCAAATCCCGCTGTCACTGTGTTTCAAGGTAACTTAGCACTTGAAATGGAAGATGCTTTGGGGTCTTTATTTAATCTAGCTGGAACTGTGAGGCAGGTCATTCTTCAAACTCCCAGATCCCTTGGCTCTGTCTTTGACTACATCTCCTGGCAAAGCATTGTTTTTGATCTCTTTTCTCTGTCTGTCTTCCCTACCTCTACAGAGGGTCTCGATTTTCTTTTCATCTGCTTCCTTTCTCTCTTCCAAGCCTGCACTCTAGAAATCTCTATTCTCACGGGGCTTCCAGCTTTGCCTTTCTCTTCTGTTCCCAGCCCCCACAAGTCACCCTGTGTGTGTGGAACTGAATCTCACGTAGGAGGGAATAGTCTCCTGGCAGATGTTGTGTTGGCTTTATAGAGAAGCATAAACAGCGACACAATTAATGACAGTATTTCTTACCGTGGATAATGGCCTTTGTATAACTGGCAGCCAGGACACACTGCATGTACCTTGTGCACTAGACATTCTTTGCATTAACTCCCTCCTGTTGTCTGTTCGCTTAGATCTGTCAAATACCTATTGACTAGCAGATCATATTGCATTGACCAAATTGTGTTTCTTCCAAATCACCTACCTATGGATGAAAGCTCTCAAGCTTGGTTGGGACTACTATCACAGCAGATTTAAGCTTCACGCACACCTCAGGGGATAAAGAAAGCTTTTCCGTTGTCTTTTCCCCATAAATTTTTGAGCATCGCTTTGACTTCTGACAATGTCAACTAAGGAAATATTAGCTTAAGAACAAACTTGTCATTACAGACTTTGTATATTCCTGTGCTGGGCTAATGCACATTAACTGGTGAATTATCTTTGATTTGGCATAGATAGAGCTATAGATGTGGGTGTGATGATAGACATTCCTATAAAATGCTACTCCTCCATACCTTCTATGCAGATCAGTTTGAAACCACTACACAAGATAGCTGCATTTAAATTTCAGATGGGGGGAGAAAGTTGTAAGTTTAATGCCTGTCAGCCTGGCTGAGTGAGTGATCAGTAAGTCAAATGATTCCTTTGGTCCTGTACCAGAGCTGGGAGGTCCTTGTGCTCGTGGGTCCTGGAGTCCTTGGGGGCCCGAGGTCTGTGTTTAATGTGAGACTGAACACAGAATATTTTGCGAGTCAGTGGGATGACCCAGGACGTGCTTTGAGAGGGCTGAGTGATGGGATAATTAGAACCAAGCAGACAGCGGGGTGGATGGTTTGGCTGCAGATAATAGCTTGTTTGCTAATTGCCAACACCAGATTTTCTGGGCAATTAGACATTTGGTTTGTTCCAAGACCTTCTGTGCAAATGTGTACACATGGCCGCAGGCCCTCCAGGTAGCAGGTGGACAGAGGGCGGCTCCCAGTGCAGAATGGCATCTCCTGCTGGCTGCCCAAGGGGCTGTGGGCAGGGCAGTTCTCTCACCAATATCTGGGAGAACCCTCTGACCGAGTGCCCTAGTGGAGAGGCTGAAGTTCCCCTACAGTTATGGAAGGAGGTGCCCTTGTGCTGGGAAATTAGCAAAGAAGGCGCTAATTCTCCACTCCCTTTTCAAGAGCATTGAGCCATAGATCTAGTAGGAATCAGAAATCACATCCCCTCCTAGATGAGCAAATTGATTTTTTAATTAAAAAATTTTTATTGCAGCAAAGTATATAAATATAAAATTTGCCATTGTAACCATTTTCAAGCACACAATTCAGTGGCAGTCAGTACATTTACAGTGTTGTGCAACCATCACCACTATCTGTTTCCAAAAGACAAACTCTGTACCTGTTAACCAATACTTCTCCAATCTTCCTTCTCCCTAGCCCTGATAACCTCTAATCTAATTTCTTTCTTAGTAGAAGCATAGATAAATTTGTTTATTCCTGGCATTTCATATGAGATTTATATGTTTGTCCATTTATACTCAATGTATTTCACTTAGCATGTTTTCTAGATTCATCCATGTTGTAACACATATGAGAATTTTATTCCTTTTTACAGCTGAGTAATATTCCTATTATATGGCTAGACTACATTTTGCTTGTCCATTCTTCTGTTGACAGACACTTGGGTTGTTCCCACTTTGGGGTTATTTTGAGTAATGCTGTGATTCACATGCTCAGGGCAGATGCCTAGGAGCAGAATTGCTGGGTTACACGTAATTCTCTATCTGACCTTTTGAGGAAGCATAAACTGTTTTCCATAATGACTGTGCCGTATATATTTGGTGGAACGCAGAATATATAAATACATAGGTACATGTGTCCTAATTTCTTTACATGTTTGCCAGCATTTTTTATTTTCATTTTCTAAATTACAGCCAGCCTTGTGGAGTGGGTGTGAGATGGTATTTCACTGTGGTTTAGCTTTGCATTTATCTAATAACTAATTATGTGAAGTGTCTTTTCATGTACTTGTTTACCATTTCTGTGTCCTCCTTGAGGGAAGGTTTATTTGTTTACTTATTTCTGTACTGCTTCTGCGCCTTTCTCCCAGAGGTTGAAACTGAGGCTCACCAGGAGGAGAGACCATTAGAAGGGAGGCAGCTGTGCAGACTGGAGACTTCATGTTCATCTTTCATGAGTCATTTCATTTCAGTCCCTTGGCCCACCTGGACCCACTATAATGATGTTCTTGAGTTCTCATCATACTGGGGAAAAAACATCAGTTAGAGCCTGGGGTTCACCAAAGTGCCCAGGCAGCAGAGCCAGATGGAGCCCCTCCTGGATCTCTCTCATAGGCAGACACCTTATACTTTCTCAGACACCTTATATTCTCTGCTATTGTTTTAGCAAATTACCCATTTTTTCCCTGCCAGGTATTCAGCTGTGTGCTGAGTGCAGCAGTATTTGCTTAGCCCCCAAGGGCACCTGGTATTTGCAGCCATCCAGGGTCTGGCCGTTGGCTCTGCATGAGACCTTGCTTATTTTGCTCTGCCAACCCTGCCAGTCTGGGTAGTGGGCAGGAGGGCACTGTGGCACTTCTAACACTGACCACGGACAGTGTCACTGCTCTTGGGTGCTCATTCCTGGGCAAGATCTGCTGGGCCTTGGCAAAGTTTCAGAGCAAACGTCTGTGTGTGAATAATCACAAGAAGAGCAGGACAGTCAACAGCAGACCCTCCATCCCAGGCCCCAGGCATGCTAACCTACCTGTCTGCCCTGGGTTTTCTTTTTGAATGTCAAAAACATTCAGTATCACTGAAGAGAGATGAGTTTGCCATGTTCTGGTGGAGCCTGATGCGAGAGGGAGGGAGAAAGTAGATGTATCGATTAAACCAGAAAGTTCTTTCTGGAAGCTGCAGTCATGTCTTTTATTCCCATGATAGGATTGTTAGCTTTGGGGGAGTGCCACATCTCTTTGGGAATCTGAAGGAGATAGATACTCTTCCATGAAAATGCATGCAAAAACTTGCACATCACTTCATGGGGCGGCAAGTTGTTGTTGTTCATAATAGCGCCTGGGTTAAAAACCAGCTCTGCAGACCCATGAACCAGGACTGAGGCCTTCTGGGGCATGGGCAGTGTCTGCCAAGGGGATTGAGTGGCATCTGGTGAGAGGCCTGGTGGTCACTGCTAGTAAAGGAACACTTCATTCTGTCAAGGTTTAACATACCAACTTCTAGGGGTGCTGAGCCGGACACCCCACCTTCTTATTGGGGCTTCAGCCTTTGCCACCACGTTAATCTCTGTAGGAGCACAGCCTCCGCCTGCTTTCTGCTCCCAGGCTGCCTCTGCTAAAGAGTGTACTTTGTCTTTCCTTTCAGAAACGGCCCCCACATCTGCATATTCATCTCCAGCCCGGAGTCTGGGGGACACAGGAATAACGCCTCTGTCCCCTTCCCATATTGTGGTAAGAAATGAATATTTACGTGCTGATTGCCTTTGTCTTCTGGGTGTGCTCTAATGCCATTGGCAGCCCCTCACCTTCATTCCTGGGGGGATTATATTGCCCTGGTACAAGCCCTATGAGCCTTGCTAAGCAGCTTCCTTCACTCCCCCTCTCCGCCCCCAATGCTGAGCCTGAAAGGGCTTTCTTCTATGGTGTGGTTTGTACTTTGGAGCCAGTGGCCTGGGTGGGTACAAAGAGCAGGCGGTGGAGAGGAGGGTGGAGAGGCAGGCTGGGGGTGGGGGGGTTGCAGTGCAACCCTTTAAAGATTCAGAGCTTGGAGACTGCGAGGCCCCATCTGGCCATGGTGTTGTCAACTGCAGTGACTGCTGTGCCCCAAAGCCTGGGGCTGCAGGACACTCCTGCAGCAGCTCCCGTGGGGGAGAGGACTGCGGAGGATGTGCTGGCAGTGAGAGGGCTGGAGACTGGGCTGTGATCCCCAAGGGCCCCCATGACAAGAGGATATTGTGGGCAGCCATTCAAAGGGGTGTACAGTAGCTAGCACAAGAAAAGGACTAGCGGACGGGGGGCTTTGCTGGGTGGTAAACTGCTTAGATCTGCAAGGAAGACCCCCAGAGAAGAACCTGAAGCCACACTTTGGGTGCTGGCTTACCCCGTTTTGACACAACTGCTCCGTGTGGCTTTGCAGGCACTGTGTCTGGGAGCTCCCTGCGTCTGGGAAGCCCAGGGGGCCTGGCCTCCTCCCTGGGTCCCGAAGGTTCCTGCCAGAACTTCAGAGTGACCTTGGGGGGCTGGAGGTAGTACTAGAAAGGTGGGACTCTCACCCCTGCTCTACCAATGCACACCAAACCTGCAGTTTATTGGCTTTATCATTTTTAATTCTGAGTATTAAAAAAAAAACTACAGTGCTTTCAAAAAGGAGGGTGGAGGGGCATCAGCACCATCCACCTGTTCAGCCTTCTGGCTGATGACACTAGAGTGAGTTTTCACGTTTTCTCCACATGTTAAGTACATGTATACCCACACACCCAACATATATTCTCTGAACTGTGGGTTAGAGGAGAGAAGCCACATGGAAGGTGCCCTGGTGACACCCAGGGGTGCTGCCCCTCAGGTGCCAGAACTTAGACACAGGCCTCTTGGACTAGGGTCAGCCTCCTTTTGCTTTCCAGCTTCACTGAGATAGAATTGACATTGTAAACACCTGAGTGTCTAGTTTAAGGTGCTAATGGGATGATTTGGTGTTTGCTGAGTGAAATAAGGCTGGGGGGAGAAAGACAAATACAGCACGATCTCACGTACATGCGGAATTGAACCCACCAGCCGGGGAACACCCACAGGTGCGGGGTGCATGGTTTGCGGGGTGCATGGTGAGCCAAGAGAGAGCTGGTGCCCTCCCCACCCAGCTTGCCCTTTCTCCTCTGTTTCCTTTATAATGACTTTGAAAAGGGACTGGTAAGAAAAAAAAAATTATTTTGCTTTAAAAATTTTGAAAAAGAAATTTAGGAAAATTCTAAAAAGACGTTTTGGAACCCTGGAATGGCCCAGCCCACTCGCTTGCAGCTGGGGAGAGGTGCTAGCCCTGAGGCCTGGGCCTTCCAGGGTCATGTGTGATGCTGGCAGGACCAGCAGGGACACATGGGTGGGCCGGGCACCTGGGAGGTGTGTGCCGGGACGGGAGGGGAGCGGGCAGGTGGTGTCCACAGCGGCCATTGTGTCATTGGGCTTCCAGCCCTGATGGTGACTCTGTGATCAGCCTGATTGGTGGCAGGTGGTGAAGGAGCTGGTGGGGGTGGGTGGCAGAGGGCAACAGGTAGGCACCTCACCCGATCAGCCTGGCCCTTCACTGGGGCACCTCCATTTCACCCTGAACCTCAGGCAGACTTGATCTTCTGCCTGCAGCGGGGTGTCCAGCTGGGCAGGGCGGCACCAGCTGTGTGTCTGCCTGAAAACCAAACTCAGCCACCCTGTCCCCACACCCCGTGGTCACTGGGTATTTCCGCAGAATGATGCCGACCCCAGCGTCTCAGAGCAACAGGCATTTCTGGTGGTGGTGGCCATCGACTTCGGGACCACGTCCAGCGGCTACGCATACAGCTTCACCAAGGAGCCAGAATGCATCCATGTGATGAGGTAAGGGTGCTGTGGGTGGGGCGGCGAGGACCGGCACCCTCTTTGGGCCTCTAGAAACCTGGGGGCCAGGAGAGGGATTAGTCAGTGAGCCTGTGAAGGGCTCGTCGGCAACGAGGCCTGGATCCCGCCTCTGCTCGGCCCAAACTCACTGTGCCAGCTTGGCCAAGTCGGGTCTCCCTGGGGCTCCAGTTCTGGCCTGTAAAATTAATTCTGGGGTTGTGGGTCTGAGGCAGGGCCTGGACAGTATGTTTGATTCCAGCCTGCAGCTCGAGTGACAGGTGCCAGCTGACACGGTGTCTGAGGGAGGCCATCCAGGCACCAGTGCTGCCTGTCACTCTGGTCGCTGAGCCCTGGGTCTCCTGGGACACACAATCTCAGCAGCTTCCCCACCCTCCTGTGCACAGCAGCCCCACGCCTCGTGTTCCCGTCCACACCTGATCAATTGTCTGCCGAACTCTGGGCAGCCTGGCACTGGTGTCAGCTCCCCCACATGCCCATGGCCTTCCTGCAGGTCTGCAGCCACCCCAAGCTTTGGGAGCCACGGCCCTATCACCCTGCTTCTCCAAATCCATGACTCTGAAGACACCCTGCACTCTGCTTTGCCACTCCCTCAGCTGGTAATCGCGGAATTTAGTTATTGCTCCCAGAGTAAGAGGTTTTTATTAGGGGCTGGTTAAAACACAAGTCATAATAAAAGTGACCCCCCACTCCAACCTTGGTTTAGGCCCCGCATTTCCTCTTGAAATCTAAGACCTAAGAGGCTCCAGAGACCCGTGGGCACTCTCCCCTGAGGCACTAAGGCAAAGCCGGTTCCGGTCCAGAGCCTGACGGCAGCGTGGCCCTCCGTGTCCAGTCACCCCCGGGTTCTGCCTGTGGTCACTGGACCAGTGCGGTGCGTGCTCAGCCGCCCCCTGAGGGCAGGCCCGTGGAGAAGGGCATGCTATTAAAAACTAGAATCAATGTTTACACCTTCTACATAGGTTGTTTTAAGAAATAGTCCTTCCAAGGAGTCGTCAAACCATGGAAATCAAAAACAACCAGAAATAATTTTGAAGTCGGCAGAATTCAGGGTCTCTCGAGATGTTATTGGATATTGTGAGATTACCCGAGGGGAAGAGATTTTTCAGGGGTCCTTCCTGTATTCGACTTCAGTCGGAACGTGTCGTCACACCGAGGATACGCGCTGACAACGTTGTGCACAAGAAGGTTCAGTTCTTTGGATTTCAATAGAAAAGAAGGCATATAAGCATGAAGGGAAAAATTCAGGGGTTCCTTACCTGCTGGGAGGTCAGTGTTAACAGTAATGGGGAGTCCCTCGGGACAGGTGGCATGTGGCGCGTACCCCTGGCCCGGGCTCATCCCCGGCCCTCAGCGGGTCACCACCGGCCTCTGGCTCCCAGCTAAACGCCTGCATCTGGCGGAGCTTGACTGGGAAACCAGCCAGGGACGAGCAGACCCATCTGCGCGGGGACCGTCGGGTGGAGTCGGCTCCCCATCTGGGCAGCGCCGCGCCCACGAAGCCTAATGATGCGGTGCAGGGAGCAGGTGCCAGCGCAGCCGGTGCTGGACCCTCCCGAGGTGCACCAGGGAGGATGGTGGCTCCCCCACAGGCATCCCCACGCAGCTGCTCACAGGGCTGGCTGGTGGCAGGAAGGAGGGCGTCAGGGGCTGCAGGAGAAGAGAGCGCCCTGACCTCTTGGCGGCCTGGCCTCTCCACTGCGGCCCCCAGAGAGGGAGAAGCATCCGTCATCTGCCCACACATTCTCCGTCCCTCTGCCTCCTTTCTCTCTGAGAGGCAGGAGGTCACTTCCCCGGGACCCAGCCCACCTGGGTCCTGCTTCCTTGCCGCTCCTGTGAGCTCCTGTCTGTCTCTACCCTCTCGCCCTGCTTCTGGCTGCTCCTCGGCACTGAACCCCGGCAGGCCCCGCCCTCCACAGCATTCCTGTCTCAGCTCACCACGCTGTGGCTGTCACCCCAGCATGGAGGTGCCAGTGCTGATTCCTGCCTGGCTCTCTTCCATGAGGCCCAGGCTTCTATCTTTAGCTCCCTCCTGGAGGTTCCCAGGGGTGCCCCGTCTTCCCTCCAGCCTCCTTCTCGGCCAGGACTCCTGGTCTCATGAAGGCACCCTCTGAGACCTGGGAGGAGGCGCATTGGCTGCTGCTCACACCAGACCTCTTGGCACTGCTCCCCCTGAGGACAGTCCCCGTCCTTGTCCGGCCCGTTCATCTTTGCTCCAGATGAGGCCTGGGCCTCCGCCTCAGCCTCCCGGCGTCCCGGGTCCTCCCTTCAGTCCAGCTTGCTCTGGTCGACAGCAGCTCTGATTCTGTCGTGCCCTTGCTCTCCAACTGCAGAGGCTCCCCACCGCTCCACGAACATATCTCTAGCCCCTCAGTGTTCTCCTCAGCGTGGCTCCAGCCTCTTCCCCAACCTCCTTCCCGCTCACACAATCCCACTTCTTCGTCACAGGCTCCTCGTCTCTCCCACACGATCCCTGATCATCTCCATCCGGGTCCTGCGCTTGCCCACTCCTGAGCAACCAGGCATGCCCTTCCCTCCCTCACGATCCACTCGTCTCTCACTCTGAAGTCTCCCCTGAATGTGGCACTCTCCCCTCCCCCACCACCTGGCCCCTCTGCTTCTGGGGCCCCTTTCCGAGCCCCCTTTCCATCGGAGAAGACTTGTGTTTATGCACAAGAAGCACAAGAAGACTTGTGCTTGTTATACCTGCCTTGTTTCAAAGAGGACTCAAGCCACCTGCATAGCTGCTATTGGTCGCTTGCAAACTGAAAAAGCAAAGGGGGAAAGAAAGCGAGCACATTACTTACAGATTGGTTTATTTATGTATACAAGAGCTGGGGTGCAGGCCAGAGATGCAGGGTGGGAGGCAAGAGGACTCACCAGAGACAGAGCAGGGAGCAGAACAGGTGGATCCTTTGAGATACGCTGTTGAAGGGAGCAGTGGGTGACTCAGGAGAGGTCTCCTGCCCATGTGGGTCACCTCCCTGGCCGGGGATCGAACTCATGCTGCAGAGGCTGCGCATAGCTTCATAGTGCTGCATCTCAACCCCTTGTGCCACCAGGGAGGCCCCCCCTTTTGTGCTTCTTTTTAACTGAAGTGGCATCTCTAGCCGCTGCTCAACCTCCTGCACCTGGGTGCATCTGCGGAGGCTGCTGTAAGCTGCACCACCTGCCTCTCACAGGTGTGCATACAGTAGGTGCTCAGACAGGGAATCCTACAGAATATCCCATCATCTCTGCGTTTCCTCGGTGACAGGCGATGGGAAGGGGGCGACCCCGGCGTGTCCAACCAGAAGACCCCCACCACCATCTTGCTGACTCCCGAGCGGAAGTTCCACAGCTTCGGGTACGCTGCCAGGGACTTCTACCACGACCTGGACCCCAGCGAGGCCAAGCAGTGGCTGTACCTGGAGAAGTTCAAGATGAAGCTGCACACCACTGGGGTGAGTGAGCCCTCCCCGGCCCCGTCCTCACTGCTGAGAGACAATAATCCTCCAGCTTTGGGGCATCTTCCCAACCCTGGGCCACCTCACGTTCCTCCCAAGCAGAAGTCAAGTCCATCTACCTTGATTTTAGAAGCCAACTGGACATCTTTGTGGGATGCCCAGCGCTCTCAGATGCCCACCTGGGCAGGAGATAGTCAGCACATTCGACAACTTGCTTGCCGTGGGAACTGACCCATCAGAGTGGACATTGGCTGGAGTCTGGACATAGGGGCTGGGGGCGCCTGCTGTGCTAGGAGCTCCCCCTTCTATTGCTGGATTGTTGGGAGATGGGGGAGACTGGAGGAGGGACTTGAGGGCTGGGGAACATTCAGGGGCTCAGGGCAGTGTCTGTTATAAACTAACCAATGTGGAAATAACATCTAGTAACAAGGGGCCCATTAACCCTCTGTGGGGGGGGAGGGGCAGCTTAGGAAGGCAGCTGCTCAGGGATGGAAGTCCCAGCACCCAAAGCAGCTCTGCTCCCACACCCCCACATGCCAGGGTCCTGCAAGATGTCTTAGACATTGCAGCCCCCTCCCCAAGCTTCGTGGAAAAGATTGGGCCACAGGGTGCAGTTTTTTCAGTTTAGCATTTTACCCCATGAATTTTCCTTGACTCTGTACTTGAAGATGCAGGATGGCGACAGTGTTTAAGATCCTGACCTTAAGACCAGGCAGCCTGGGTTTAAATCCTGCGTCTGCTGCCTTTTAGACACTTAATCCAAGTCACTTAACCTCTCCGTGCCTTGTTTTACCTCATCTATAAGCTGGGGGCACTGGTGGTGACTCCCTCGTGGGGATGTTGTAAGGACTCAAGAGAATCCAAGCAGAATTCTGGTTGGAATGTCTGGTTCCCAGTAAGTTCCAGTCGGTGGGTGGCCCCCACTGCTTTCCTGGGTCTGCTGGGAAGTGTTTGCAGCAGTTAACAAAGGGTAAAGGGAAACCCAGCAGGCAGCCCCTGCCTTCCGAGGTGCTGTGCTCACGTTGGGGTTTTTTCTGTGAAGCCCACAAACTTGTGCTAGAAATGCACCCTCTGCCCCACCATGGGGTGCAGGCCGAGCAGCAGCCCTATGCAGGTGGAAGACAGGACTCTGCTCCTGAGCCGGAGGCTTCCTGGTGCTCAGTCTCTCTGAGCCTGGGACCCTGGGGCAGCGGGGTGACCCTGTGGAGCACCCGGGGTGGGAGCTGTGCAGATGGGCAGGCAGGAGACTGGCAGGCTCCACCAGGCTGGTTTAGCAGCTGATGCCCTTTTACACTCCAGGCAAAGCCTAATTACCCAGCCTGGATCGATCCAGACGCCCCACTGGTGTTTTCCCCTGGCGGTAAGGAGCCTGTTCATACCAGGAGACTCAGGGGCTTCCTCCTGATGTTTACTCCCATTCTCTGCCCACCCTCTGGGGCTCTTTCTTGTCATTTTTGAGTGACCTCAGTCCCCCCAGCATCTGGGCCCTCACAGGGCAGCCTCCGCCCAGGACCAGAACACACTCAGCGGCTGTGGGAGCTTCTGGCAGAGGAGGGAGGCAGTGGTGCACGGCTCCCTGAGATTTGGCCCGGGACTATGCAAGCCTTAAAATAGGAGTCTTCTATTTTGGTGACTTGGCTGGCAGCTCAATGGGGAACGAGAGTGTCATGTCTGTTTAGCATCATGCAGCCGAAATGATTTCAGATCCATTAGGGGGGCTCCCAAGGGGGGCTAGTGTGTCTGTGTGTGGAAATAGCATGTAAATCTCATCGGCAGTGGCGCCAGCTGCCTTCCCTGTCTTCCTGGGCTCTGATGCTGCCCCAAAACCTCAGCTCTTGGAGGATCCAGAAGAGAGAGAGAGAGGGGAAAAAAAAAAAAAAAAAAAAGGAGGAGGGAGAAGTGGATTTAGGGGCTGAAGGAACAGCCAGGGCCGCCTCCTCCTCCTCCTAAGGGGACAGTGCTGCCAGGCCCCTCTGGGGCTTTACTCCATGTCAGGCTCGTGTGTTCCCAGATCTCCAAGCCGCAGCTCCTGGAGCAGAGGCCTGTCTCTGCTTCTTAGTCTTCTTACTCTCTCCTTCCCCCGTCCCCCACCAGGACCTCACCATGGATACGGACTTGACAGCGGCAAATGGCAAGAAGGTCAAAGCCCTGGAAATCTTTGCTTACGCCCTGCAGTACTTTAAGGAGCAGGCACTGAAGGTAAGACGAGTGCCGGTGCCCGCTGGCTGGAGGGCTGAGGTACGCCAGCTGGGGCGGCAGGGACAGCCTGGAGGCAGAGCAGAGGTTTTGCCTTGAGAATGCAGGAGGCACCCTCCTGCTGCTGGTGGGAAGGGAAAATGGTGCAAACCCAGCAAGCCCACTCCTCGGTGGGGACCTAAGAGAAATGAAAACAAATATTCACGCAAGAGCTGGTCCCTGTGTGTACAGCAGCTCTGTTTAATACAAGAGCTAAAACACGGAGACACCCCGATTGCCCATCAGTGGGTGAATGGGTAACCCCATGGGAATATTAGTCACCCATGAAAAGGAACAAAGCTCTGACACGTGCTGCAGCCTGGATAACCTGGAGGATATGGTCAGTACAAGAAGGCTGCCACACAAGGCCACACAATGTGTGCTTCCATTGTGTGCAGTGTCCAGGATAGGCAAACCCATGGAGAAAGAGGCAGATGGGCAGTTGTCAGGTGGGAATGAGGAAGAACTGCTCGAGGGAGTGGGCTTCTTGTTTGGTGCAGGCAGAATCTCTGCCTTCATCCACACCCAGTTACCCCCTTGTTTGGTGATGAAATGAGCCAGTATGATGTTTGCATGACCTTGGGAATACATTAAAACCCACTGAACTGCATCCTTTAAAATGGTAGGCAAATTATATCAGTGGAATAACAAAAAAGAAAGAAGACACGCTTACCAACTGTGTGATCTTGGGTGAGGTGCTTAACCCCTCTGGTACCCACTCTCCTCGCCTGAAGAGGCAGGCAGGTACCCCCTGGGTGGTTTCATATTAAAGGAAATGTTAACATGAAGTGCTCCCTTGGCGGGTGCAGTGACTCTTGGTCGCTGCTCGTCCCTCCTCCTGCACCTTCCCTCTTCCCAGTGCTCCCCTACCCCCTCACCGTGAGACCCTGGAAGAAGCTGATCGGGTGAACCAGCTGGATTGTCCTTGCAGAGTTTGCACAGTGAGGGCCCAGAATGTGGAAAGCAGCTCATTTCTAAGTGGATCATATCCACTCGGTGTCCCCCACCCCACGCTCAGTGATGAGTGGGTATAAGTCAGATGATTAAAGAGCTTTAGCCAAAAAGAATTGGGAACTTCGGAAACATTTGGTATTGTGATCACTAGAAGAAATCTGGTGAGTTCTAGAAATACAATAAATAGAGCAGAAATAGACTAGAATTCCAGAAATAGGGCTAGAGAGAGATGGAGAAGTGGGAACGTATTACTGCTTTTATCCATGTAAATTTATTTCCTTTGGAGTACTTTTAGGTGCCAGGTTCACATGCAAGTTCTGGCAGTGTAGGAATAAACACAGACTGAAGGAGTATGCAGTCATTGCGGTGAGGGGGTAGCTGGGTGTGGATGGAGGCAGAGATTCTGCCTGCAGCAGGGAGGGCTCCCTGTAGGAGGTGGCAGGGGCCCTCCCAGGAAGCAGCTGGAAGAGTGGGTATTTCAAGTTGGCCACATGGCACAAGAACAGCTCCAGGAAGAAAAGATAGCAGACAGCTACGGGGAGCAGGCAGTTAGGAGTGGGAGAGGCTGGGAGGTTGGACGGGAACAGCAAGCTGTGTTTGAGACTCAGATGCCAAGCGAAGGGACTTCTGGGGTAATGGGAATTCATGAGGGATTGCTGTAGGGAAATGCCACGGCCGCACGCACAGTATTAGAGCAGGGGAGCCCACGGGGGGTCCAGAGGGCTGCAGGGTGGAGAAGAGCTGCGTGGGTGTGAGCTGAGCAGCTGGCCCGGATCTGAAGCAGATTTGTCTGGAGGCTAAGGGTGAGGCTGAGGGCGAGTGGGGCCACTTGGGAAGCATGAACACCAGGAAGAAAGAGGGGCTGGGGAGAAGTGGACTGGGTGGGGAGGGGGGAGTTTCCAGCCAGAAAGGAGGGAAAGAGAAAAGTATGAGAGGGATGGGGTGGGGGGGTGGTTGGGTTTGCTTTTAGGAGGACGGTGACCCCGCAAAGGAAAGCGTCTAGTGAGGCTGCTGGGGCCTGGAGAAGGGGAGAGAGGTGGGCCCATGCCAACCTGACTAGCAAGGGCGCCAGAGGTCAGGCTGGGCACCTGGTGGCCTGTCTGCCTATACCACACAGGGCAGGCCTGAGGAAGATGAGGGAGCAGAGGGAGGCAGAGTACTGGGAGGGGCGTCCAGGGGACCCCGGGGAAAGTTTAGGACTTGAGAAAGGCCATGACAACAGGAGAGGAGGCAGCTGCCCACTCCAGAGGGGAGGGCAGAGGTGGGGGTGCAGAAGGTCGGGGTGGCCGGGTGGTTGTGAACACAGCAGCTGAGCCAGAGGCTCCGGGAGCCTGTGTGCTTCTTCTCCTGGCAGTGGACACGCTGTGGAGAAATCCCACGAGGAAAAGCAGTATTAGAGGCGTTGGGCCCTTCACCAGAGGTCAGATACCTGAAGCAGTCCCTCCGATCACAGAGGAAGCTGTGCCGTAGTGGCTACACTGGCCCCCCATGCCAGGTCCCCTTCCCTCCCAGGTTGTGTCCATCCTGGGCACACAGACTGCGCTGCATTCAGCCCAAGGAGCAACTCGCTCACATCATTCACGTTCTGAGCCTTTTCCTGTCCGGGGTCTGAAATTGCTCAGGGGCCGTGGGTGTGGTCTTAGCGCCCTCCCCGCACATGCCGGGCTCACCTTCTTCCAAAACCCTGCAAGGAAATAAAGTGTGATTCAGACACAAGCAAAACATGACAGCTTTGTCTCTGCCCAAAGCAGAGGAGTTTTTTAAAACATGTTTTTAAAAAAGTCAGCTGAAGGTACTAACACTACTGAAGTGTGCACTTCAAAGTTGTTGCCGACCATGCATTTCACTCTGGGTATTTTATCTTTTTATTTTTTTTAAAGATTTATTTATTTGTTTTTTTGTCTATACAAGAACTGGGGTATAGGTCAGATGTGCGGGAGGGTGAGAGGAGTCACCAGAGACAGAGTGGGGAACAAAACAGTGGATCGACTGAAATACACTGCTGAGGGGAGCAGCGGGTGAGACAGGAGAGGTCTGCCACACCATGTGGGTATCTCCCTGGCTGGCCGGGATTGAACCCATGCTGCAGAGGCTGTGGACAGCTTCGCAGTGCTGCGCTCAACCACCTGTGCTATCAGGGAGGCCCATCTTTTTATTTTTAAAATTTATTTATTTATGCATACAAGAGCTGGGGTACAGGCCAGAGGTGTGGGGGGTGAGAGGATTCACCAGAGACAGAATGGGGAACAGAGCAGGCGGATTGACTGACATACACTGCTGAGGGGAGCAGCTGGTGAGACAGGAGAGGTCTGCTGCACCATGTGGGTATCTCTCTGCCTGGCCAGGGATCGAACTCTTGCTGTAGTGGCTGTGGATAGCTTCACAGTGCTGTGCTTAACCCCTTGGGCCACTAGGGAGGCCGTGGGTATTTTATCTTAATGAAAAGTGAAAATAAAATTTTAGGGCAAAAAATAATAGCTTACTGATCAAAGAGGAACTGCGTTTATTGAGAGGGTGGGGCAACCCTGGATAACTATGTGAAACCACAGGGAAAATCAGACACCTGTCAGAAAACCCCCCAGCCTGTCTGCCTTCTGAAACATGCCCCCAGAGCCCATCAGCATGTGTAGATGTGCTGGCGAATGCGGCAATAGGAGGGGAAGACGAGAGGAGCTAGTATTCATAGGGGCCTTCTCAGACCAGACCCTCTGTGTGTTCTCATTTGGTCTTGCCAGGAATGCTGCAAGGTCGTTTCATTCCCCCCATCATACAGATGGGAATACTGAGTCTGAGCAGTATTCCAGAGACATAGTTTGCCTACACGGCCGTGGTAGAAACCTCTGCGAGCCCCACCCATCTCATTTATGCACTTGGGCTCTGCTGACATGGTGTAACCTCGGCCAGAAGTGAAGGGCAGTATGACTCACAGCTTTCCCATCCTGCCAGGAAGTCCCCCTCATGTGCCAGGCTGGGGGCCAGGTGGAGGACAGAGATGACTAGAGCTACCACTGCCACTGGGGGCTAAGCGTGACTGTGGGCCAGGCCTGGTTCTGGATATGAGGACACCTGCAATAATTTAATCAAGACCTCGGTCTTCAGAGTCAGGCCAGACTTGGGCTGTGCCACTTTTTAGCTGAGCAGTTGTCAAAGAGACACTGAACAGGTCAGGCCTTCATTTTCCAAGTGTGGCACAGGCCAGTTCCTCCCTAACAGGTGGGTTCCTGGAGCTGATAGATGTAGTGTGTTAGCAGGGTTGACACAGAGCAAAGTCTCCAGGAACAGAGCCCTCAGGAAACCATCGCTCTTGCCAACACCCTCAGGAGCTAGGTGTTATCACTGTACCGGTAAGGAAACAGGCTGAGAGGCTGTCGCTTGCCCAGAGTCACAGGATCAGCAAGTGGCCAGAGGCCCCTGCTCTGCCTGCCTCCCGCCTGCAGGCATACCCAGTGAGTGAAAATGGCTGGTGAGTATTCAGGAAACAATCCCCTGTTGCCTGACGCTGTAAGTTCTGGAAGCTGCGGAGTAGCCATCTGGAGAGTTCATGGCCAGGGAGCCTGGAGGGCAGGGAAACCACAGGGACCAGCAGCATCCGCTTGACCTGCTGCCTTTCCCTTGACTTCAGGAGCTGAGCGACCAGGCAGGTTCGGAGTTCGAGAACGCTGATGTCAGATGGGTGATCACGGTGCCTGCCATCTGGAAACAGCCGGCCAAGCAGTTCATGAGACAGGCCGCCTACCAGGTGAGCGCGGGGCCCAGGTGCCCACGGCTGACTGTCACCCCACTCAGGTTCCCTAGCATCCTCGGGCCTCCTGGGGAAGCAGCAAGGAGGCTCCTGTAGGCAGGGGGGCCAGGACGGGGCCTTCCTGTTCCCATTTTCGTCCTGAGGGAGAAACGGGTTGAAGGACAGGGGAGGTCCTGGTTCAGCTTTCTCTCTGGTTCAGTGTGTTTCCCTTTCATTCTGCCCCTGGGGGTCTCGGCCTGGGATTTCTGAGACTTTTTCTCCACGGGGGAAAGGAAGTAAGAACTTCCTCAAGGAAAAGATGTCAGTCAGGAGGGACTAAAGTGTGGCTGGTGTCTTGGGCGTCAGCTTGGTGTGAGACTGAGCTGCACGGGCAGCTGCAAGATGAAGGGCAGGGTCTGTGCGTTGTGTGTCCACCACCAGGTCACATGTCACCGCCTAGAGGGAGGTGAGGGCTGCCGACCTTGGAGGAGGCAAGCGCCAGGGTAAGGGCCACGGTGTAGCTCAGATGCATCCGGTCAGCAAAGTGCCCCTGTCCATGGCCAGCAACTGGGGGCCCCCTCTGCTGCCCCAAACCCTCGTGGCCCCAACTCTCACCTTTGGCTGCTAACAGTGTCCTGAGGGGCTTCCACGAGGGTGTAATTGAGTGACAAGAGCGGCATTTCATGCTGACCTGCCGTTCTGAGCCCCGGGACAGAGCTGCTGTGTTGCGCTGGCTCATGGAAGGCCCCCCAGCACCGGGCCAGCTCTCCATGCTGAGCTTCAGTTCGGGAAGGTCACGGAGGCAGTGGCGTCCCCTTGCACAGCCCCCCACCCCTGCATGCCTCTCAGGGCACAGCTTGCCCACCTTCCCAGGGACAGACCTCTGACCTTGAGCTGACCTGTTTGAACCTTCTCTTCCAAAACACCCACCGGGTCGACCTGATAGAGTCAGATGTGGGGGGCAGGGGGAGGCCCTGATGTCTGTATACAATTCCTGGGCTTCCCTCCAGCGCAGGTAGCGTCCACGAGGGCTGCCAACCCGCTCCTCCCCTCCCCTCCCCTCCCCTCCTCTCCTCTCCCCTGCCCAGCCCTAGACCATCTCCTCTGCTCAGCGTGAGAATCTGGCTCCCTCCATGTAGCTGCCAAAAATAGACTTGTTTTTATAAGGATGAAGGAAGAGGGTGGAGGCTCCAGAGAGGCAGCTTCTTCAGAGAGGAAGACGCACACATGCAGGTTAGCTGTCCCGGGAGCCCTGGACGCGCTGCTCCGCAGTGTGGCCTCCGGGCAGCGGCACCCCTGGGACCCGCAGCACCCTGGGACCCGCGATGGGGCAGCCACACCTGGAGCTCCGAGTGTTTCCCAGGAAGAACCTTCCAGATACGTGGCTTTGACTCTCATTTTCCACCCCCAGGAATCTTGTGACCCTGAAAAGGGTCAGTTCTTATTTTTAGCCCGAGAGAGAAAGCGGTGTGAGAGGGGCTGGAAGCGGAGTCAAGGGCGCTCCTGAGGCCTGCCTCTGAGCCGGGTGGGGGGAGAGGCCCCCTGCATGGGATGGGGGTGTCAGGGAGGACTCCAGGCAGGGGGCAGTGTCCGTGGAATCAAATGACGCCCTGGAGAGTGGCAGGGTCCGCGGTTCCCACCAGGGCCGCGTCGCCAGCGTGTGTGGATGGAGTTTGCTTTCTGAAGTCTCGAGACGCAGTGTGGGTGAGATAGCCGCTCCTTGCTGGGTAACTTCTGCCTTGTTCTGTGATTGGCAGCTTGCTTTTTGGTCCCTTGTGGTTCTGATTTGATCCTTGTATCCCCGTTACATCACTGACAGGACTTAAGGGGGGGGGGCATTCTATCCTTCACTCTCCTTCATTCACTAAACAAGCCCATCCCAGGCCTTGTGTGTGCCAGGGAGCCCTCGATTCATGTCCGAGGGACCAAGACAGGGGCCACTTCTCAAGTAGCCTGAAGCTGAGTGACTGGTCCATTGAAGGCTTTGGCACCTCTGGGAGATGCCAGAGAGGGCATTTTGGGGCACCATTGTTTGCGACTTCTCTGCAGTCTCTTCAGCCTGTCCTCTGGGAGAGTCCCCAGGGGAAAAAATGGAAATGAAGTTTGCTACTCTGTGGCCAGAATTCGCATCTCTCCAACTCTCCCTCCTTACCCCCATTCATTACACAGGGGAAGGAAGATGAATACCTAGGATGATTAATTTTGTGTGTCAACTTGACTGGGCCAAGGCATATCCAGAAATCTGGTCAAACATTCTGGGCAGGTGACTTTGGATGAGATTAACATTTAAATCAGTTAACTGAGTAGAGTGGACAGCCATCCCTAAGGTGGGTGGGCCACGTCCAATCAGTTGAAGACCCGAAGAGCCCAAAAGACTGAGCCTCCCTAGACTAAGAGGGAATTCCTCCTGTCTGACTGCCTTCAAGCTGGGACAACCTTCACCCCTGCTCTTGGGCTTTCACTGAAACATGGGTTCTTTCTGGGCCTTAAGCCTGCCAGCCTTCAGAAGGGAACGACACTTCAGCTCTCCTGGGTTTCAGGCCCTGGGGCTCAGTCAGGATGATGCCTTTAGCGCTCCAGTGCTGCCAGCTGCCAGCTGTAGATCTTGGGACTTAGCCTCAGAATTGTGTGCAGCAATTGCTTATAAAAATCTCTTTTTCTACATGCTACCTCCCACTGGTTCTGTCTCTCTGGACAACCCTGGGTTGGGCCAGCCAGCTTCAGGGCCCCGAGGGTGCTCACCTGGCCGCTGCCTGGGTGCCTCGTGCTCTTTGTTTCCTTCAACGAGGCGGGCATTTGTTTCCTTCTTCGAGGTGGCACTTGTCCACCAATCCTTCCATCCGAAGTGCTCTCCATCTGCCTGACAGATGGACAGAGAGTCAGAGGAAGAGGAGGGAGAGGTGCTTGCTCAGAGAGCCTGGAAGCTGCCCCGTCTGCCCTGAGGGGCATGTAGGAAGGGAACCCTCCTTCCAGGCTTATCAGAGGCCCCAGTCCACAGCACAGTCCTCCAGCAGCTGAGCTTCGGGCTTCCACTGTCTGGTGGTAGAGGGGGAGGCAGCCTGGATGCAGAGTGGGAGAGGAGGTATTGCGGCATCTCCCACGGGGTGGCTGGGTTGGGGGCCCCCACTCAGAGGTCTGAGATCCACTACCAAGAAACAGCTGACACCAATACCATTTCATGCAAAAGCCAAAAACTCCTCTTACATTAAGTGCATGTTGACAAAGTAGGTTAAACCTACTTTGGCTCTGGCCACCTTGAGGCCCTCTAAGGGCATTCAGAGGGTTGCAGGAAAATCAGCTGATCCCTCTTCCAGGGCTTCAGAAAAGACCTAGAATGGGGAGATCATTCCATGAATCCCGGAGGGCATCCACCCTATTTCCAGATGCTTTTTGTCTAAAATAAGTCACTCTGGTAGGTTCCAGAGCCCTGTTCAATAAAAACGCTGTTCCCCTCGGTACGATGATCTCATCTAACATGACATTGCCGCCTGCATGTGCCTCCCTTTCTGAGCAAACCGCAATGGAAGATGATCAAACAGGAAACAGGCCACTGCAGCCACCCGTGACGCCAGCCAGGGGCGGTGTGGCCTTTGTCGCCGGAGCCCGGCCAGCGGGCTCTCAGCCAGTCAGGCTGCGTTCCTCGGCCACAGACACTGCCCTGGTGGGTTTTCCCGGAGCACAGCAGAGCCCGGGGCAGAGGAGCTGCTGCGGCGCCCATGTCCCCCGCCTTCCTGGAGCGAGATGTTCTCACCCACCTGCTCCTCCCAGTGGGGCTCGTGACCACAGAGGAACACCCTAGAAAGCTACTATGAGGGTGCTCCCGCTGCCCCAGATTCCGGAGGAGTCAGCTGGGGTGGTGCACTCCTGTTCACACACGGGCTGTAGGCTCCGGTGTCTCGTCTGCAGAATGTTCTTGCTCGGGTTCAGAGACGGGCAATGGCCAGTGAGGCTGGCTAGAGGGACGGGCCATTCGTTCCTGCAGCATCCACCCTCTGAGCGCCGTGTGCTACGAGGCAAGACTGCTACCTCAGAAGAACACTATCTTGCAGGCGACCAGACAAGTCTGCTTGCATCTGGGGTTGGAGGCAGAATCTGCAAAGCGCCGTGCTGAGGAGCTCTCTGCAGAGCCGTAGCAGGAGCTACCAGCTGGAGGCAGAACTAGCGATGCCAGAGAGAGCTCCTCTCTCCAGGTGACCCTAACCTAGGCAGAGACCCCCAATTCTCCCCCTGGCTGCCAGGCCCCAGGGCTTGTGCTGGGAAGAGAGTGGGCTCACCCTGGAGCAAGGCCTGTCTCCGGCGCTGGCCTCTCCCGCCCAGAGACCACAGCTGGGTCTTGAGCCTCCGGCTACGCTGGTTCACACCCTGCTTCTTGTGTCCACCGCAGCGCTGGGACCCTCCTGGAGGGTGGAATCTGTGCAGAGCCAGCTTCCTCCTTTGCCTCGCCCCACAGCTCCCACAGTGGCCTCCTTGGGAGTTTGTTGCTGGGGCCATGGCCTCTGCTTCTGGCTGAGGACAGTGAAAGGGGCTGGTTCAAGAGAGGCCCAGGCTGTGTGGCTTTTCCTGGACACGGGAGCCATCTGGCCGGTTGGACCTGATGGCAGCAACATGCCTTGGAGCCAAGCAGCCTTTGTCTTGCTACCTTCCCGCTGAGGGCCACCCTCCTCCAAGCCCACTCTGCATCCCCAGTTTTGAGAGAGTCTTAGGCTGTAGGCCCAGCTGGCTGCTGGCTGCTCACTTTCCTCCATTCTCACATCTGGGTGGGAGCTGGGCCTGGACAGGCCACGATGTGGGGAGCCAGTCCACCTGAGCTGCCCTTCTGAGTTTCTTCTGCTGGGGCCAGGACCAGGTTGGAGGCTTGTTTCCCCCGAGCGCCTCACACATGGGCCCAGAGCCCACAGAACAGGCCATTCTTTGGGTCTGCAGCACTGTGACTAGAATGAGCCTGAAGCCACAGAGCAGGAGCATCCCTGCTGTTACAGGGTTGAAGGCTGCAAGTGAAATCACTGACAGCTGCCCCCTCCCCGCCCCGCCACCACAGTGGAAAGTGAGGGGCCCTCTGGGGTTCTGGGAGGCGCTTTCTCCAGGGGAGTCCCATCCAGCAAAGTCAGAGTGGCATCCGAGGGCTGGCCATGGCACTTCCTTGGCCACCAAAGTAAGCACTGCTGCCCCTTGCTCAGACTGCAGGCACATTGTAACTAGAAACAGACCCTCTGCCTCCCGCTCTTCTCGATGGCGGTCAAGGTTTAGGGGCCATTCCTTCTTCCTGCTCCTCAGTTTGGGCCAAGCAAGCCCTTAATGCAAGACCTCCCATGCTGCAGAGGGCTTTGCAGTTTCCAAGAGTGCTTATGTATTTCTTGGTCACTTGGGGTAGGGGCGCTTGGGTGCCTGACTTGGGGCCCAACCCCTGATCACCCTGACTTTAAGCTCTGCCGAGACCTGTGGATGGATTTTACTTGGGGAGTCAGCCCAAGGCATGGGGGGGGGGTCCTCTGAGTGGTCCTGCTCAGGGGCCCAGGTCCCAGCTGCCGCTTCTGTCTTGCAGGCGGGCCTGGCCTCCCCCGAGAACTCGGAGCAGCTCATCATTGCCCTGGAGCCCGAGGCCGCCTCCATCTACTGCCGGAAGCTGCGGCTGCACCAGATGATTGAGCTGAGCAGCAAGGCGGCGGTCAATGGGTACAGCTCCAGTGACACAGTAGGAGCTGGGTTTGCACAGGGTACCTCCGGCTCTCTCTTCCCCCTCCCTGCTCTCCCCACTCCCGCCTTGCATGTGTCTCTGCCTCAGATTATCAAAGGCACTGGGTGCTGCAATGTCGGCCTCCCAGAGAGGAAGGTGTAAGCCCCTCTGGGCTCAGCCCCACTGCCCAGGCCCTCCCAGGAACCCTGTAAACTCAGCCATGGTTTCCCTGATTCATCAGCCATCCAAGTGCCTTAGGAGGGGGCGGGTGCTTCTCTCCAGGAACCTGAGGGCTGGGCCGCCCGAGAGCTGTTCTTGGCCTTGCCTTTTACTAGCTCTTCATCCTTCTTGTCTATTAACTGATTCTTAATCTAATCCCACTTGCCTGCTATTAATTCCTCCATTAAGACTGTTGATTTATTGTTGACTCACTCGCGGGGGCCGCGTGGTGTGTGATGAGCTCATTATGTGTCTTTGCCATGAAACGGGCAAGCGTTCCACCCTCCGATGGAAAGAGCTGGTTTTTTTCCTGACCCTCGGCTGCTCGCACTAGGGGAAGCAGCCCGGGGAGGCCCAGGCGGGTATTTTAGGAGCTTTTCCTTTTTAACACTCAACTGGATGCAAGTTGGTCACAGACTTGGTCCCAGGACTGTTTCCCTGGGATTTAAGACTCTGTGGGTCAATCTGAGGCCTTTGGGTTTGCAGACACCCGGGGTCAGGGTCATGGTCACAAGGGGAATAAGCCAGGGTGCAGCCCAGGAGCACTGTGGGGAAGCTGGTTTGCCTCCATCCCAGGATCCAGCTCCCAGCTCCATTCCCAGAGGAGGGCCTCCATCCAGGGCACCCGCCCCCTGTGCCCCTGCCCCGCATGCTGCCCCGGGAGGCAGGAAGGGGTAACTCCAGAGGCTGTGTCCTACAGCCTCCCTCTGTCCCGCAGCCAGGCCTGTCTGCTCGCCCCCAGGCACGGGGGCCACCCCCAGTACAGACACACATTCCACGGACATAAGGCCAGTCTCCCCCAGGCCTCTTGTCGTCCTCCCAGAGTGACTGCCCCAGAGGCCACTGTCCTGCAGTTTCAAGGACAAATGTGGAGTCTGTGAGGCTCAGCCACAAGATAGCGCCCACGTTCAATGTCCAAGGCTGCTGCTCAGCCTGCCGGGGCTGTGTTAACACCCCACATCTGACTCCCCTGGAATGAATGGGGTCAGGCACCCCCTTTTTTTAGATTTATTTTATTTATTTTGCATACAAGAGCTGGGGTACAGGCCAGAGGTGTGGGGGGTGAGAGGATTCACCAGAAACAGAATGGGGAGTAGAACAGGAGGATTGTCTGAAATACACTGCTGAGGGGAGCAGCGGGCAAGTCAGGAGAGGTCTGCTGCGCCATGTGGGTCAGCTCCCTGGCCGGTCAGGGATCAAACTCGTGCTGCAGTGGCTGGTAATAGCTTGATAGCGCTGTCCTCAACCCTTGCGCCACCAGGGAGGTCCTCGGGTACCCCTTTAAATCCCAGGTTTGCTTTTTTTAGCAATGCCTGTCTGCCTCCAGAGTACCCAGAGAGACAAGCTTGATGCCACTAAGTCAAGTGCACAAAGGTTCCGAATGCTCAGCCCACATGCTGTCTCCACCCCTGGTCACTGGCTCAGGGGAGCGACTGGGCTTTCTGTCCTCAGTGTTCCTGCTCAGCTGTTGAAATGGGAAACTCGCGTCAGAATTAGCGACCTGTGCTGCACTTCTCAATACTTCCTAAGGCAGCACTCAGGTTGAAGGGGATCTGCTTTGGGACACTGCCCCGCTGAGGAACCCTGTCTCTGGGTTCCTGGCCTTGAGCGTAGCCCGCACCCCGCACTGCTCCCGCTCTGTCCCTCTGTGCCTTGGGACTCCGCTGTGGCCTGTGTGCTCAGCCAGGCGGGGTCTGTCTCAGCCTTATTTGACAGTTACACCGTCTCTCCCAGCAGGAAGGGAGACCTGGTGGAACAAAATCAGGAGAACCCCAAAGGCCCAAGTGCCCGAGACCCCAGGTCCTTCTCTGTCCTCATCGCTGCCCCGTGGACCCCGCAGAGGGTTTGCCATTGTATTTCACTCCAGAGGATTGAATGAGTAAAGGGTTTATTTTTCACCAGCTGGGGCTTCATTTGCCTAAAAAAGTGGTAATTTTTTTTTTGAGAGCTCAGAACATGCTTCATTAGCCGTGCATGGCCGTTTTTTAACTAATGGCCCAACCCCCTGGAAGAGATGGTGCCGGCTGCAGACGCGCCACCTTATGGCTGAAGCGCCACCTTGTGGCTAAAGAGCGTATTGACGTCAACTGAGCCAGGAAATGGCTCCCGTCCCTTACCCAGGATCCTGATCAGGAAAACATACCGCACATTCCTCGCTTCAGAGTTCCTGGAGGTGAAATTGTTTAACAGAGCACACTGCAGGCAGCTGGGCAGACAGTGTCCTCCCTGCAGCAGAGAAGCCAGGAAATGGGCCGATTTTATTTTATTTTTATTTATTTTTTTATTTTTTAAAGATTTGTTTATGCATGCAAGAGCTGGGGTACAGGCCAGAGATGGGGGTGGGGGAAGGTGAGAGGATTCACCAGAGACAGAGTGGGGAACAGAACAGGCAGATTGACTGAAATCCACTGCTGAGGGGAGCAGCGGGTGAGACAGGAGAGGTCTGCTGCACCATGTGGGTTGCTCCCTGGCCGGCCAGGGATTGAACTTGTGCTGCAGACGCTGTGGATTGCTTCCTAGTGCAGTGCTTAACCCCTTGTGCCACCGGGGAGGCCCTGGGCTGATTTTATTAAGCCCCGCCCCCTAAACGTCACCGGCACAAGGGAATCTCTCCAGGTGAGCTTTTCAGGGAGGGCACAGGACAAAACCACTGGCAGATGCATAGAAGAGGCTGGTGGAAATCACTCCCTCTGGAAGAGCTGGCTCCATAATCCCCAGTGTTATGTTGATGGAATCACTCTGATCATGTGTCACTAACTGTTCTATCCCTAAACCTCCTCATGCTATTGCCTCCACTGACTGCAGGTGACTGCCGCTTTTTCATGCTTTCTTACCCGTCATTTTCTTTCTGTCGGCCACTAGCTAAGGAACACATACGGCGTAATCGGCAGAGTCGGACCTTTTTGGTGGAGAATGTCATAGGAGAAATCTGGTCCGAGCTGGAGGAAGGTAGCGTCCTTGAATGTCCTTTGCCCTTGCTAGACGTGTGTGTGTGCTGCTGACAAAAGTGGATTCTTGTTTTTCCCTCTTGCACTTTTGGAAAAATATGCCAAATCAGTTGGTTTTAAAGACCACTGCCCCTGGGAGCGGGGAGAGCTCTTTTTGGAGCTGTGAGCATGCATGTTCTGATATCATGAGGACCAGATAGACAGGCAGGAACTGGAACGCCCCCATTCTGGAGGAAGGCCTGTGTTCATCAGCAGACCATTTTATGGTGCAGTTAACTTGGCAGGGAGTTACCCATTTTTCCATGCTGGGTCTGCAGCAGCGTGTGACATGAGTGTTTTTGTCCTAATGATCACCCCTTTATCACCCCCTTATCATCCATGCTAACCACCACTGCTGGGCAGACCTCACTGCATCTCTTTAGTCTCCAGTAACTCACTGTGTGTTAATTAGCAAAATCACTGTACTAATGAGAGGTGTTGATGGCACTTGGCTGGGTTTACCAAGTCCCACCCACCAGCTCCTTTCAAGGCAGGATGGACAAGCCATCTATGTAAAGGATGACTGTTTTTGTCCCAGGTGACAAGTATGTGGTCGTGGACAGTGGCGGTGGCACCGTAGACCTGACAGTGCATCAGATACGGTTACCAGAGGGACACCTTAAAGAACTGTATAAAGCAACAGGTGAGCCCCTGCAGGACTGTCTCCTTCCAGATTTCCCAGCGTTTCATTCTCTCAAGGCCAGCAGCACGTGGGTCACACCACACACTGCTGCCTGTGTGAAACTGGAGAGCAAAATGCAATGCAATGTTGTTGAAAACATAAGCCACTGTAACTTGGGTTTGGGCATAAAATGATGAGCCTGGTTCAGATCCTGACCAAGGGATTCTGTCTTGGAAGTTCTGCAGGGATGCAACTGTTAGGTGATGTGACTGATGTGATGCCAGCTAGGATTTAGGGCTATGGGTAAGCGGCCCACAGAGGTCCCGGGTCACCTGGGCTTGGGTTGAAGTGGCCAAAGCAGCAGCTCTTTCCTTGGTGGAGGCAGCACTGAGGAGGAGATCGTAGGGGCTGGTGACACCTACTGGCTATCTAAACCCCGTCCTTGGATTTCATGGGCAGGAAAACCATATGATGTCTCTAGTGCATTGGGTACTGATTTATTTAAAATAGAATTGATTTTAAAGATGATTTCTATAGCAAAAGTTTCCCACGTGGAATTAGAACCTCAGGGTTTTAAAGTGCTAGTGCAAGTCAGCCTGCGAAGCGAGTCTAAGTCGGAGCTGTTTTGTGACTCAGGGGCACAGAGCAGGTGGTTTCCCAGACCTCAGGCTCAGCATGTGATGGTTTGTGTTAACACAGTGGGCTCCCATTTTGTCCTCCACTCAGGTGGCCCCTACGGATCCCTAGGAGTAGACTATGAATTTGAAAAGCTCCTGTGTAAAATATTTGGAGAGGATTTTATCGAACAATTCAAAATCAAGCGTCCGGCAGCCTGGGTCGACTTAATGATTGCCTTTGAGTCGCGTAAAAGGGCCGCTGCCCCCGACCGCACTAACCCGCTGAACATCACTCTCCCCTTCTCCTTCATCGACTACTACAAGAAGTTCCGCGGGCACAGCGTGGAACACGCCTTGAGGAAAAGCAAGTGAGTGGGGCTCGCCTTGGGATCAGGACCTTCCAGGGGAGGCGGGTGCTTGTGATGGGAGGAGGAACGGATGGAATGTGGTCTCTGGGTTCCAATCCTGCACACTTGCTGCGTGACTTTGGGTGAGTGACCCAACCTCTCTGTTCTTCAATTTTTTTCATCTGGAAAGTAGGCATGATAATTCCACTTACCTCAAAGGGTTGTTGTGAGGCTGGAATGAATTCCTATATGGTAGGTGCTTGGCAAAGCCTGGGGCTTGGCAGGTATTGACTAAGTGTTACCTGAAGAACATAAACTTGATGAAATCAGGGTGCGGGGGGGGGGGTTGTCCATTCTTTGTCCTACAGAGTTTCCTCTGTCAGGGTTTGGCTCACTGCAGGCCGTGGAGTGGGTTCCTCTGCCCCCTGGCAGTTTTACAAACTGGCAGATTGAGGCTCAGTCAGGCTCAAGTACGAGTTTGTGGCCAGTCTCCTTCCTGGGTGGCCGCCCTCCCCCCGCCCCCCCCCCTTTGTCACATCCGGGGACTCGAGAGCTTCGCTAGTGGATTCCTTGGGGGTGTCAGCGCCAGATGGTCATAGCCCAGGTCCTTCCTTCCAGGGGTGGCCAGTGGCAACCTCCTTAGCCCATCACTCCTTCCACTGTTGCTCAACCTTGTCCACCAGGAGAAACTTCTCTCCTCAAATGCTTCATGGCTCAGTGCATAGTTCATGCAGCAGACAGGAGACATGCTTGACTTTCCCTCCAGTTTTAAGGCTTTTTAAAGCTTGAGTTGCATTCCTAGCGTTCTCCGAAGTACTGATTTTTTTTTTTTTTGCTGGGGGGCACATTAAGAAGTCATAGATTTTAGCCTCCTCGGTGTAGTTTAAAACCGGGCAGTTTTATCTCTGCGGCTGCTCACATTGTCCCATCTGGGCCAGAAGGAGCCTTTTCGTGTTGGCTCCAGAGTCCGCTGCCGTGACATTCGTGGTCTCTGACAGTCTTTGCCTTCTGGGATGTGAAGATGTTCCTGGGCATCTTGTACGTTCCTACCCAAGGTCTGGACTTGGCTGTTTCTCTAAGAAGACCTGGTTTCTTCACTGGGAGACGAGCAGATTTGATTCAGGGTCTTCTTGCCTTTGTGGCAGGGCCTGACTCAGCTGATGCACTCTCCTCCACAGAGGACACCTGCTCTTCCTGGGGCAGCCAGCTCCCCGACTGGGGAGAAGGGTGCAGCCAGTCACGGGATCGCTCCACACCCACGTGTCCTTTGGCCTAGGCCATGGAAAGAATTCCCAGCTGGAAGACCTGGCAGCAACTTGCGTGTGAGGGCGGGAAGCAGCTGGTGTGCCCTTTGCTCGGGGTCAGAGATCCCATTCACTTGGCCCCTCTGAATGTGAGAACAGGCGGGGTAACTTGATAATAGAAGAGGCACACTCTCCAGTAAACAGCCCTGCCTTTGTTTAGTGCTGGGGAGTGTCCAGTGTTTCCCCAGACATGGTGTCATACCTGTGTTCACAGCAGCCCCTGTGAGGGGTCAGGAAGTGGTAGTGCCTTTGATTTCCAGGCGAGAAGCCTGGGGCTCAGAAACAACATAGGCCAACTTGCCCCAAGTCCCACAGCTCCTGGTGGGAGAGGCCAGGCTGGGGCCCCGCAGGGTCCGCTCCACCCCCACTTGGGCATGCTGCTCTGTGGCAGAGACAGTGAGTGCATCCGTAGGATTAGGCTGGTCCTGTCCTGGGGCAGGTGGCTGCAGGGCCGAGGGGGATGCACCTGAGCTCGCATGTGGAAGTACAGTGGACATATCACCTGAGCCTCTCATGGACTCAAATCCATCTACTACTGGATTCCAAATGTGGTTATCGGAGAAAGAGGGGGGTCCCTTGAGTTAGCCTGGTCTGCGTCAGCTTTGGGCCCCCACTATCCTGGGGAACACTGGCCACAGACCTGAGCAAAGAGAAATGGAAGAGGTTATGCCTGAGCTTCTGAGTGTCCAGGGGTTTGGGTCCTGGAACTTCAGGGTATTTATTTCCAGGGACTTCCCAACCCACCCTGCCTGAGATGAGCCGCTGTTCTGCCAAGGCCGTGCCCTGCAGGCCAGCCTGGGTACGGGTTATACATTCCTGCTTGTTTCTCTGTGCCACGCCCCTGCAGTGTGGACTTCGTGAAGTGGTCTTCGCAAGGGATGTTAAGAATGAGCCCAGACGCCATGAACGCGCTTTTCAAGCCGACCATCGACAGCATCATTGAGCATCTCCGTAAGTAGCAGGCAGACGCAGCCACTGGGTGAGGCCCAGGCAGAAAGGGGGCTGACTTCCCCAGCATCACCAACCAGTCCGTGTGAAGTCGGCAGGAAGGCCAGGCCGGGAGTCCTGGGTACAGAAGCCCCAAACCCCAGCTCTGCGCTCTGATCCCTTCCCGCAGGTACCACGGAGCAGCCTGTCTTCACCTGGGCTTTCGACTTGGCCTCAAAATCAGAGCGCTAAAGCAGTGTTAGCCTCCAGTGACGGGCCCGAGGGGATGTAGAGGCGCTGCTTTTGTGGGATAAGTTAGGAGTCGTGACCCTCGCTGGGAGTGAGCCAGGGAAAGATCTCCCACAAGCGGGCCCTGCCTCTAGGGCTGCCTCAGCAGCCTCCCCTGCACACACACACTCACTGGGACCATCATCAGTATCCAGGCCTCCCTCCACTTCCTGCTCCTCATCTTCACAATCACAACCCCTGGAGGGGGGAGGGGATGTTTATGAAAACCAAGGAGTAATATTTACGCCCGCCTTCCTGAACAAGCTCCTGTGTGGTGAGCATACACTTAGGCCTAATGGGTGACACGTGTTCATCACTATCTTGCTGGCAACATGAATATCCATCCAGCTTTGGTTTTTCATTCCTGAACCTTTTTTTTTTTTTTAAGATTTATTTATATGTACAAGAACTGGGGTGTAGGCCAGAGGTCGGGGGTGGAATAGGTGAGAGGATTCATCAGAGACAGAGTGGGGCACAGAACAGGCAGACTGACTGAAATACACTGCTGAGGGGAGCAGCGGTCAAGACAGGAGAGGTCTGCTGCGCCATGTGGGTAGCTCCCTGGCCGGCTGGGGATTGAACTCATGCTGTCGTGGCTGGCAGTGGCTTGATAGCGCTGTCTTTAACCCCTGAACCACCAGGAGGCCCCCATTCCTGAACGTATTGGGGTGCAAACCCCTTTCTTTAAAAGCCCAGCTCTACAAAAATTCCTTCCAGCAAGCTTAGATTAGCCTGCTCGCCCAAGTGGTGGTATCCAGTTCCCGCCTTCTCAGCTCACCCAGTCCCCCTCGTCTGCTGGCTCTTGGCCACAGGACATTGTCCCGTGCTCCTCTCTTGCAGGCGACCTGTTCCAGAAGCCCGAGGTGTCCACCGTCAAGTTCCTCTTCCTGGTGGGCGGCTTTGCCGAGGCGCCACTCCTGCAGCAGGCGGTGCAGACGGCCTTCGGGGACAAGTGCCGCATCATCATCCCCCAGGACGTGGGCCTCACCATCCTCAAGGGGGCCGTCCTCTTCGGCCTGGACCCCGCCGTTATCAAGGTGCGCCGGTCCCCACTGACCTACGGGGTGGGCGTGCTCAACCGCTACGTGGAGGGCAAGCACCCACCCGAGAAGCTGCTGGTGAAGGACGGCACGCGCTGGTGCACCGACGTGTTCGACAAGTTCATCTCTGCAGACCAGTCCGTGGCCCTGGGCGAGCTGGTCAAGCGCAGCTACACCCCAGCCAAGCCGTCCCAGCTGGTCATCGTCATCAACATCTACAGCGCCGAGCACGACGACGTGAGCTTCATCACCGACCCCGGGGTCAAGAAGTGCGGCACGCTCCGCCTGGATCTCACTGGCACCGGGGGTCCCAACGTGCCCGCCCGGAGGGAGATCCAGACCCTCATGCAGTTCGGGGACACCGAGATCAAGGCCACGGCCGTGGATATAGCCACCTCGAAGAGTGTCAAGGTTGGGATCGATTTCTTAAATTACTAACTGATCCTCCCCACTGCTGCCCCCTTGGACTCAGCTCACCTGCATCTGCTGACCTCAACCCTGACTGTTCTTCCCTGGCCTTGCCCCTGCCATCACCCCCTGAATTTCAGCAGGGAGGATGAGAACCACCAGGGACGGAAATAACACAGGATTTTTGAGGGCACGCTGGAGTCAGAAAAATTGTGGGGAATTAAGGATGAGGTCTGGGAATACGAAAGCAGCTAGAAAGGATTCTAGAAAGGGATTCTAGAAAAGCAGCTAATTTCATAGGGACTGAGCGGTGGAACCCAGGAGGGAATCAGTCCATTTCCCCAGCAGGGACGGAGCTGGCTTTGAACAGATCTGTTGGTAGAATTGAGAGGGCCCGACAGCTATCTTTCTCAATTCAAAATGAGATTTTTGAGCCAGGAGATTCTTCATCTCTTTGAGACTTTGCTTTTTCCATTTTTTGAATGGCAGTCAATCTAAGATGCCGCCCATCTGCAGTCATTTCTTTTCCCCATCATGTGATTCAAAGTGGTGATTCAGAAGGAACTTGGAGCATTTTTTAGCTGCCGGGAGAAGACTGCCTACACGGGGCACTATTTTAGGTTCTCATCATTTAAATTCCAAATCGGTTCAGGGAAGACTCACCGGGCCTCTGAGGGTTAGGATGTGGCGTGGGGAGGGCAGATGCCTCAGCTGTTCAGCAGGAAAAAACTCACTTCAATGGAAATAAAGAGCCTCTGACAGATTCCATATTATATGCCAAGATAGAATTCTCAGAATGTCAACTCCTGATTTCTGAATTCGTAAGTGATTTGGGTTCATCTCAGCAAGAGTCTATGAGAAAATGAGCTTGCAGTTTGCCTTGTTCACGTCACCAAGCTCAGGAGTGGAACAGCCCTGACCTTGAAAGTTGTACCTGTTTTACATAAGCTCCCTCCTGCCTCCTCACACGCATTTCCTTAGGAGTTTTCGCTATTTATTCCCACATTTTGAGAGGACTACATTGGTGACACGTGGGCAGAGAATCTTCCATTTTTAAAGTCTGTCCAAAAGGAATTTGTAGATGTTTCCTTGATGAATTAAACCAAGGCTTTTGAAAGCAAATATTCGAGGGCCCACCTGCCTGAGAGCTCGCTTGCTCTGGTCGGAACTGGTTCCTGGAAACTTTCCCCTTTACAAACTGAAGTCAAGTTTTGGAGAGGGGATTCATAAGCCTCGGGAACTGTGGTTTATTGAAATTTGAAAACCCCTCACCTGAGGTTTTGTGGGAGGGTGAGCATGAGCAGCGCCTGCACCCTGGGGAGCTCTCTTGGGGGAAGGGTTTCTCTGTACAGGGCAGCGCTGATCCATTTTTGCTCACTCGTTCCAGCTGGGCCTCCACCTGGCTTGAGAATGGTGCCTTTAGCCTCACAGGAAGGGCCTGGGGAGGAAAAACAAGGGAAAGAAAGGCACCCCAAGAAAAGGCTGCCTGAGGAACCAACTGGTGGGTCTGTGATAGGTCCTTCCTTCTGCACTGTGCAAAGTCCATCTTCCCCAGCATTGAGGAACCGAGTAAGGAAAGATCAAGAATCTCAGTCAGGCAGTCTGATCTGTTCAAAGCTGTTTCCCACCTGCTAGAATTCATTCCAATGGAAATCACTGGAGGCATGCATAATGAATGGAGGATAAGTAAGACTTGAGAAGCAAGTTGGAGTCACCGACTCATTCTCATAGCCAATATGCAGATTTTAACTAGCATTTCCGATTTCATTTTAACATGTCTTGTCTTTCATATCACCTGCTGCAGAATCCCCTGCTAGAATAAGAATTCCCTGCTAGAATATGAAACTTCAACCAGCCACAGAAGCAGAGAAAGCTAGTCACCTAACTGAGTAGCAGGGTTTTGTATCCAGGCCTGAAGGTGGGTTTGCAAGGGTTCTCTCGCTGCCTGCTCTGCTTCCAGCTAAATGTGATGGGTCTTTCTTTGGTGTTGCCAGCCATACACTACAAAATAAGACTTTTCCATTAGTTATAAGTAATATAATTTTATGTACATACATTAGAGGATTGTACAGATTATTTCTATAATGTGCTTCTCTTGTTTAAAAAAAAAAAACAAAAATGCTCTTTGAATTTTGTTGGTGATATTGCTGCCTTTAATTTTCCATGGTTTCATGTAATTGTGTTTACCAGTCATTGATTTTTACCGATACTAAGTTATGGGTTATGTTTGCAAGACCAAGCAATAGATGGAGGTGCCTGAGATTAAATACGCTGTGTGGACGGACCACCTAGATCATCAGCTTCATCAGAACTTTCTCCACCACACCTGTCCCCAAAGTTCACAGTTTATATTTAAAGGAGCATAATAATGTATGGACACTCCTGTCCAGTCTTAGGTGGCTGAACTTTCTGGTTCTAGAAGCAGAGTGACAGAAAAACCTACAAAAACTCTTTGCAACATTGCCTCCTCTCCTTGTGGGGCCAAGTGGGCTCTGAAGGCAAGTGTGGTCCACTGTGTCATGTTTTCAGGGTACCAGGGTCAAAGGAAGGCATCAAGGGGTGCACATCCAGCCTTTCCACTGGTTTAAGTGTGTGATGTTGCCAAGTCCCTGTTTCAGGCTAGCGTCAGGCCGTTCCCACTTTGCATTCAGGATGTCTCCTTGTCTATTTCTCTTGAATGAGCTGGTGGACTCTGCAGTGTTGGCAAAGATGATTGAGGGGGAGGTAATAATGTTACTGGACTTTCTTCTGGCCCCAGAGATGCAGCCCCAATAATCAAACTCCTTCAAAGGGAACCCCAAATCCATCCCTCTTCCCTCCTGTCCCCACTGAAATATTCTAGAATAAGAGCCCTGGATAAGTACACTTGGACACATTTCTAATCTTAGCAAGTTTCTCAAAGGCCTGTTATCTTGACCCATTACTCAAGTGTCCCTGGCATGTTATCTGTCGTCCATGTTTCCTGGAGGCAGATCTGTCAAAGGATTTCCTTTGCCCTTCTGTACACAGCAGGCATTAATAAATGCTGGATGACAGACACGTTACTGACAGACGAGATAAGAAAGAGGAGGAGCGAAACGGAGGTTTTTCTGCAGAGTGACGGCTAAGATGAGTCCAGATTACAGAGCCTGCCTTACCCTTAGAATGTTATTTAGATCAAGTTTAGCTTTTAGAGTCCAGGTCTGGTTAATTGCCAGGTAGCAAAGAATCGCATGCACCAATATCAACAGGAGTCAAAATGCATTATTAATTCAAGATCGAATTTCACATGGTAGAGATGAAGTTGCTGTGATTAAGCTGCATATTCATGCTGGGAAATGACTCACGTGAATGACTGGTATAATTGTCGGCCATAACGTCACATCTCTCATCTGCTTGGAATATGGAATATGTTCTCAACGATCAGCCGTTGAGGTGTTGTTCACTACAAGATAAATTCAAACTTCGCTGAACTTTGCAGCAATTCACAACTTGACAACAAGATCGTATTTGCAAACTCTATCTTCAAAAATGTCTAATAAAGCAAAACTTTGGATCTCATGTGACTTAGACTGATTTTTTTGGGGGGGGACACTCTACATTTGTAAATGGAATTGTCGACACATCATCACCAACTCTGCACCCCACCTCCAGTGGAGATTGACTTTCAGGCCTTTTGCTAGGTGTCGTGGTGTGATTAACGGCCATTTTGACCAGACTTGGCCCCTTTGTTTGCTGGGAACCAAGGCTTCATCCAACTGCCCAAAAGCCAATTTCCCACCAAACTAGAAGAAAGCTGCCTCGCCAGAAAAAAGGCAGGTATTCCGGGGTGGCCACTGTTGTTAAATACTAGAGTTGGGAGGAGTGCCTTGTCCTCTGGTCTCTAGCGGGCAGGCCAAAGTGATGACCTCTAGAGCCTTGGGTTTATTCCAAGACCATGTCCTGGGTGGCCTTCCAGAGCTGGTTCTAGAAAGTTCTAGATAGTCTGAGGTAGGGGTATCCTTCCTACCTGGGTAGTTGCATCAGCTTTTGCGGGAAGTTTAATTCCCAGGAGGGTGTGTGTGAGTGGGGGTGGGAGGGCCGGCGGGAGGTGTATGGGGAAGCAGTGCCTCCTGCAGTTCCTCTTTGCAGGAAGCAGCTGGACCAGCAGCAGCTGAAGGCACTCAGTCCCTCTGTCTGGGTCACACAGTGGGTGTCTCAGTGGCTTCAATCCAAGGAGGTCTCAGCTCCTATAAACTAAGGATGCTTAGAAAGCAGGGTGGCTCCAACACCAGCCCTGCCCCCTGAGTACCCCGCCCCTCTTCTGCCCAATTCTTAGTCCAGGCCATCTGTAGTCCTGCCTTTGCTGCCTGACAGAAGAAAAGGGGAGGTGAGAGAAGGTCAAGGGGAGTAAGTGTTTTGGGGTGGCTGCCATGGACACAAGGTCTCTCCTTCCACCCCCAGCCCCGCAATCCCTCACCACTCACTCAGGCACCAGCTAGGCACCAAGGAAGGACATCCAGGCCGGGCCCCAGTGCCTGCATCAGTAAAAGGAGGCTTTGACCTAGGTCCCTGCCCATACCCCTCTCCCCACTTCCAAACCCCTGAGGTGCTCCAGGCTGGGGGAGACAGAGTATCCAGGATTTAGAACAGTTTCGGAGACCAAATGTTTGTTTGCAAATCCCTGGATTTCACGCAGCCCCCAGAGTCACTGCAGGTCCCAACTTCCTCCCCATGCCCAGGGCGGTTCTGGCAGGACTCAGGGGTGAGGGGCGAGGAAGCACAGAGGGCTAAGCCGGGGGGCTGGGCCTGGGGGGATGCCCGACCCCGCCCTTTGCCCCTCCCCCCCCGCTGGGTGAGCTCACAAAGGCCAAGAAGCCCCCAGAGCGGGTCAGACAGGGGCAGCCCCCCACCTTCCAGGCTGGCAGCGAGCCCCAAGATCCCCAAACCCCGCGGGCCTTGGTGAGCGAAGTGGGAGGGGAGAGAGAGATGAGAGCGGCCGGGAGGGGCCCGTCGGGCTCTCTGAGCCCCACCCCCGCCCTCACCCCCCGCCCCAGCTCTCCCAGCTCCGGGGCGCTGTCCCCTCCCGGCAGGGCTCAGCCGGCCCCCCGCCCGCACCCGCTCCGCCCCTCCCTCCCTGCACGCTTTTGGGCAACGTAATCCTCAGAATTTAGGGGTCCCGGTCATGCCCTCTGGGACTTGGGAACCGTCAAGGAAATTTCTTCACCTCCCTGTGCCTTATTTTATCATCTGTAAGTGGGGATTGGACAGGAACTACCCTTAGGGCAGCTGTGAGGATTCGCATGAAAGCAGCCTTGCCCTCAGCCACGTCTGCCCAGCAAGTGCTCTGTAAATGCCGGAGCTGTTTTCACAATTCCCATCTTTGCTGATTGAACCCCAAGAGTCGCCTGCCCTACCCCAAGGGCACACATTCCGGCTCCTCACTGCTAAGCAGTGAGCTGCCTGGGCAGGGCAGCACCAGCAGAGCCAGATGGAGAAGCTGATCCCTCTGGAAGGACCATCCTGAAGACGAAAGGGGTCTGCTTGGGAGACAGAACAGCACCCACATGAATTGATGCTACCCTGCCACAGCCCACCCCCAACACTGGAATCCCAGCCCAAACTCAGGCTGATTCTCTGTTGTAATGCGCTGCCTTGTGCTTTGTAACATCCGGAATGGGGGTTGGGGTGCTTCTACTCACCATATGCCAGTAGCACCCTGCCCCCCACCTGTCCCCAAGTTGTGACAACCCCGAATGTCTCCAGACCTGGCCAGATATACCAAGGGTGGTGGGAGGGCAGCAAATCACCACTGTCCCTGAGCCCACCCGAGTATAAAGGCTCTTGAGGTGAGGGTGGATGTTAGGAAGTCCCCAAGGAAGGGGAGATGCTGGCGGGTGGGGTCTATTGCATGCCTGTTGTCCAAGTTCATGTCAAAGGTCAAGGCCCCTCGGCATCAGGGCTGGTTTTCCAGGGAAGCAGCTACCTCTGCTGGGTGGTGTCAGGTGGCAGTGCTGCCTCTCCATCCCACCGCCTTGGGCAGGTTATTCTCCTTGGGCACATCTCAAGCGCATGTGCTGAGTTCTCCAGGCAGGGCCATTTGATGAGATGATTTCATTCCCTCTTCCCTTAGTAACAGAGAGTGAAGTCATGAAGTCTTCCAAGACCTTCATGAGAAACCCGCCCATCGCACCTGGCTACAGTGGTAAGTGCAGCGTGTCCTGCAGAGGTGGCTGGTAGGAGAATCATGGTCCTGGACACCGCCCCTGCCTTTGCTCACTGTCCGAGTCTGTCCAGCCGACGTGGCCAGAGCCGGTGCTGTAGCTTTTAGGACAAACCGTGAGGGTGTTCCTCTGCTACCCCTGGTAGCTGGATTCCGATGAATGGAGACACGACTTAGGCCAGATCTCCAGGACATGGCATGCGGGACTCGCTTACTGTGTGTTGAATGAATGTAGACCTTGTGAGACACCACGCTGTGGGTACGGACACAGTGAGTAAGCGGAGACCCTGTCCTTCTGCCTTCGGGTTTTCTCAAGCCACACAAGAGCTGCTCCTTTCTTTGTTCCCTAAAGGGAAGGTGACCAAGTGCCCTGGTTTGCCTGAAACAGTCCCAGTTTCAGTGGTGAAAGTCCTGTGTCCCAGGAGATCCCTCAGTTCTTGGCAAACCAGGACACTTGGCCCGTACAGCCCCTCCACGTGCTCCTCCGGCTCCTCCTCAGGCTTCTGGGCTTCTGAGACCTTGCTAAGTCACGTTCCTGTGAGTGACAAGCCAGTGGGCCCCACAGGCCCGCTGCTCTCACAGACGGGAGTCCTCAGGAGCGTGAGCATGTGGAGAGGCCACAGCTAACCAGCCCCACCCTGGTCCTATGGTTTGGTGAAGGGAACAGTCTTCGGGTTCTCACAGCTAAGCTTCCAGCCTCTGCTGGGCTGTGGCCCAGTGATTATAAGTAGAAAGTTTTATATAAAATGGGTGTTGCATAAAACAGTTTCCTAGGGCTTCCATTGAAAACGTGCTGTTCTCTCACCATTCTAGAGGTTAGAAGTCTGAAGCCAAGAGGTGGCCAAGGCCAGGCTCTCTCTGAGGCTTTGGGGAGCATCTTTCCTGGCTTCCAGTCTCGGCCCCCACTTCACATGACGGCACGTGGCTTCTGCCTGTGTCTTTTCCTGTGGTCTCATATCTCCATTTCCCTTCTCTTGTACGCACCCTGGGTATTCCCCATAGGGCCCCCCGTTTATCCTCTTACGTCTAGATCCTTGATTACGTCTGCAAAGACCCTATTTTCAGATGGTCGTGTTCACAGTTACCAGGGTTCGGACTTGGATGGATGCATCCATTTGGGGGCCACATCTAGCCCACTCAGGGTCATGGTAGAGTCCTTCTAAGACTGGTGTGAGGCTGAAAGGCGCCTGCATACAGTCCTGCTGAAATCGTTTCGGCCCCTAGCAAACCTCGGCCAAAGTAGCGTGTTTGCCTCTGGGTGTGCCTAGAGACAGTCATATAGAGTCTTTGCAGATCAAATCGGCCCCAAGAGAGGAGAAACCACTGGGGCAGAACCCCCGAGTTCCTAGGTCTCCCCCACACCAGGAGGGCGTCTTCATTGCCCCAGCACTGGGGAGATCGGGTGGTGGGTGAATGACTCCAAAACCACCAAGATGAGTCTAGCAATTAGATTCTTCCAGAAACACTTCTTGCATATTGCGGGGACAGGGTGGGAGTTCTGCCTTCAACTCTGAAGCCAGGTTTTCTTGGCAGAGGGACAATGGCAACAATTTTGGGCTTTGACAACAAGAGCTGTTTATTGTTTATTTGGCAGCTTAACACAAAGTTCTAAACCAGTTTTTCCTCAATTTGTTCTTTTAAAAAATGGCTTGTTTTATTGTGACAACATGATAGTACTTAGGATTCAGCATCCAGTTTAAATACATAGTTGTGTTTTACCCACACTAATTGTAATGATTAAATGTTATTTTGTCGGAAATGGTGAAAATTGTGCTGGGGTGGGTCTCGCGGATAATGAATTTACCTTTTCGGGTAATAGGTCTCTGCTTTTAATAAGCCCGCAATTTCCTGATGGCCCGACAAGAAAGACCCCAAATTGCATTTGGGAAGTGTCAAGGAAAATGGGCTTTCTCTTTAAAAAGATGAATAATTTCAATTACTCCTTAGACTATCATTTTGGTCCATTAAATGCTCTCCCCGTTTGCCGTTCTGACTGACGTGGGGGCTTTGCTGTCAAAGAATATTACTGTCATCGCCTTTGTTGAAACGGGCCGTCCCTCCGCAGCTCCAAGGTCACTCTGGGGGCCTTGGGAGGACCTGCCATGGTGAAAACAACAGCATTGCTGTATGAATGACCTTTGGAAAAGTGAGTGTTGGGGAAGGAAGGCATCGGAGCTGGTGGCTGGGCTCCTGGGGACCTGGGGCGGGTTCTGCATCCCTCGCTGAGGCTGCGACTCTGGTTCCCACAGGCTTCATACCGTACCTCAGCTGCCAGGGGGCCACCGATGAGAACGACATGTCGCGCTGCCTGCAAGTCTTCCAGGAGAAAACGCAGCGGTATAAAGACCAGCAGGAGGAGTTCTGCTGCTCCGTGGCCACAGCCCCGAAGCTGAAGCCCCTCTGCTGCGAGGAGGCGGTTCTGCGGACCCTGCACCAGTACTACCGGCAGTACCACCCCTTGAGCCTGGGTACCAGCTTCTCCACCAGTCCCCCTTCACCCCTGGGGCCCACGGCTGGGCCTGGCAGCCTCCCTGAGCTGCCATGGAATCTCGCGCAACCCCAGATCCCCAGGCAGCCGTGCAAAGTGGAAGGACTTAGTTTCTTAAAAAAAAGAATCTTTTGGGGGGGGCAGAAAAGGGGTGATGGGCACTAAAAGCCCTGTGGGTGAGTCACAGCAAACTCCAGACACCCACTTTGGTCAGTGGGGACCGTTTTTAGTTGCTTCCTCTGTGCGGGCACGGTAATTTCATTCCCCACCCAGCAACCCCATGAGGTCAGAGATGGAGAAGGCAGGAGAAAGGAGGCTTCCAGAGGTGGGGAAGCCAGCTGTTCCCAGGGCCTGTTGCACAGGCAGCAGTTTTGCACTGAATGACAACCACAGTGACAATGAAACCCCAGGGCCTGTCTTTCTCTCCCAGCGGCTTTGCTCTCAAGGCTGCTCCTAGTTCCGTAATTATATTGTATGTTAATCACAACAATGATTTGACTTCCATCATTTTTAAGGTCTGAAGTCCCATAGGAAATGGGATGGATTGATTCCTTTATTAGTAGTAGTAGGGGACTTTTTAAGAACGTGCTAGCTCATGTTTGCTCTGCTTCAACACGTTACAAGCCATTACCAAGAACACCTGCCTAAGAGCTTGGGCTATAGCCTGGCTCTGCAGTTCTTTGCTGTGTGACTTCAGGCAGGTTGCGTTCCCTCTCTGGGCACCATTTTCTTCATCCAGGACGGGGAAGGCTTGGCTAGATGCTGCCGGGGGTGCCTTCCAGCTCTGAGGTTCTGGGATTTAGTGGCCTAATTTGATTCTCACAACAACTAGAAGAGGCGGTAGTCTTTTATCTCATAAACATGAACTCATTCCAGATCAGCCAGCTGTCAGAATCTTTCTCAACCTGCAGTCGGTTTCTCAGTGTCTGTTCTCCCAACTTGATGCTTCTGGATTCCATATGGGATTCATCGGTGTGATGTCTGAGGCTTTTATTTGTCTGTCTGTCCCACCACCATTCCTTGTATCTCCCCAGCCCTTTCTTCCTTACCCCCCTCCCCTTAACTTCAGAAATTTCACTTTATTTATTAATATCTGCTAGTGTTTCTAAGTGTTTACTTTGTCAGATCATCTGCGTGGTGAATGTCCAATATTTGCCTTTGTCATTCTGAGTTGCTTTGCTCGTTGCACCAGTTCCCTCAAATGTCTTCCATGTTGCTGTAAATGGCAGCTTTTCATTTTATGGGTGAATAGTCCTCCATAGTGTGGACAGACCAGCTCTTCTTGATCCAGTCTTCTGTCGATGGCCATGAAATTTTTTAATTAATCTGAGGAAGGAGGCTTTGTTTAAGAGTGAAGGCACAGGAATTAGACAGATGCAGGCTCGAATCCTGGTCTTACCAATTTCTTGCTACGTGACCTTGGCTGGGTCACTCAACCTCTGTGAGGTCTCAGTGTCCCCCTCCACAAAGTGGCAGTAGTCACAGCATCATCATTTTATGGTTTGTGAGAATGTGAAATGAGAGACTATGGGTGACTGGGCATCCCTGCCAAGGTACCCGGCACACAGGAGCAACCCTCCAGGGTAACCTAGTGACCTGGGTGCCCCTTAACTTGGGAGCACTGCCCACTTGTGACTTTTCAAAGCTTTTAGGAAGCCTTGTGTCTCATTTCAGAAAGCAAACACATCAAGAAGCCGCTGCAGGAGCCCCCGATTCCTGGCTGGGCTGGCTACCTGCCCAGAGCCAGGGTCACTGAGCTGGGCTGTGCCACACGCTACTCTGTCATGGCCAGAAACTGCTACAAGGACTTTCTGAATCTCATGGAGAAGGCCAAAAGAGCACCCCTAAAGCCCTACGAGGAGTGAGTCTGACTCGGGTGTGACTGCTGGTGGCAAGCAGCAGGGAAGAGCGGATATTGGGTCAAGGGAAGCAGGTGCCCTCGGGCCAGCACTAGGCCTGTTTTTGTGTCTGATTTGTTGTACAGAAGCGATCTGGTTTGTAATTGCAGCCACTCTCTGCATCCTTCCTGTGCCCCACATCCTCCGGAAGCCCTGCCAGTGGTCTTGGCTGATTTTCAGGCCCAGGCTGAGAGAGACATTCAACAGGGATACCTGTCCTGGCAGTAACCTTAGGCCCAGGGATGCTGCAGGGAGGGGAGCGGGGGATGGCAGGTGACTGCACTGGGTGGCTATGGGCCTCATTTTCCCTCCCTTAAAACAGGGTTCTCATCTACAGGATAAGTTGCAAGGATTGGAAACATGTTGTGCTCCCGCGAGACCTACATAGCTTCCGTGTCTCCTTAATTTTATTGGGAATTAAAGGAGTAACTCCCTGACTTTTCTTTTTCAGAATATATGGAGTTAGGGCCACACAGCCTCCTCCTGCTTCTTCTCCAAATGTCTTGCAGCACGAGGGGCTGTCACCCAAATATCTGGATTTCTCTGCCCCAGGTAAAGGAGGACTTTCCTACCTACTATTTTTCAAAAGGGCAGTGACATATTTGCAATGGTCTCTCTGCTTAACTGTGCCGCCAGCACGCAGCTAACTCTTGGACTGGTTTCTCTACTAGGTAGTGGCTGTTCTGCCATTGGAAGACCCTTGAGGGAGGAGCCCTGTCCTCTGGTCAACTGCAGCTCCACTCACAGGCCAACGTTGTCACGGAACGGGAAGTTTTATCTAGAGCCACTGTGCTCAGCAAATTATGCAGAAGGCCAGGAAAATGGTGTCTCCCTCCAGGAGAGGTGTGCTGTAAGCTCTCCATTCTTACATGAGAATCAGCCCCTCGTTCATGCCCCCACAGGGGCACTAGGGGAGCTTTGTAACGTCTGAATCCTTTTAACTGCTGCATGCACCCTGACCTGTTGGCAATAGTGTGTTATAAAAGATAAAGACCTTCCACTGTCGTGTGGGAATAAAGAGGATCCCTCTCAATGAAGCTTTTTGTGGTTTTTTTCCGAGTTTTGCTGTCTTTGAGAAGAGCCAGGGTGGGGCACCTCTCTTCTCACTTCCTAAGGTGACCCTGTGCACCTGGACCAGGCACCTATGGAAGCTCCATACCAGCCCTCTAGCCAGTTGATTCCTAACACACTGGCTACCCCACTCTTGTCTCTAACCGGCATGCTCCCTGACCTCACTCTGCAGCTCTGGGCACCAGAAAAAATATCAAATGCAATTGCTGGGACAAGCAAGATCATTGGCATTATAAAGCTCAAAGACTGCTGTAGCGGCGGGAAGGCCACAGAGCAGGATCTCTATGATCCTATGCAGATGGGTAAAGGAGGGAGAGTCCTGGAGCCCTCGGTGGCTTTTTCAGGCTTTTATTGGGATTTTACCAGGTACAAGGCAGGCGGGGCGGGGGGGCCTGGAGGCTGGAGGACTCCCCGGGGGCCCGGCCCTCCTGCCTGCCCTGCACCCAGTCACCTCATGCAATAGTGGAGAAAACACAAAAGGCCTAAAAAGGCCACTGAGGGCTCCAGGACTCTCCTTTAATCCATCTGCTTGGATCATAGAGATCCTGCACCCTGCTCATCCTGCCGCTGCAACTGCAGAGTCAAAGGATGCACCAAGCTAGTCCTGGAACTTTCCTTACAGCTGGGATTTTTACCTGGCCTCCCCGCACCTGGGTTGAAATCAGGAGACTTGAGAATTTTGAAAGAAAAAAAGTGATGTCTTTGTTTTCTTCTATTTATAAATGTAGTCAACAGACCATTTCCAGAACTGCCCCCTTAGTCAGACAGAAATCACAGATGTTTACATAGTGTATGGCACTGGTGGCAAAGAGATTAAAATGAGGTTCATGTTGCTGACTATTTTATAATTGTGGTAGTGTTAACACGGCAACCCCACAGGAAAATGGGATGGCCTGGGTGTGAGTCGTCACCTGCACACTTAAAAAAACTCAGAACAAAACCCAAGGGCAGGCACACATTGAAAAGCTGACAAGTGTAGGGTAAGATAAAAAGTATCAGGCTTTTCTGCCCTCCCGCCATTAGGATAGATGCGGGAACCCTGCGGTCCTGAATGCATGCCTGATGGCGGCACCTGAAGTGGGTGCACCTGGGCTGAGAGACTGAGTTTATAAGGGTGGCGTCACGGGGATGCCAGCAGAAGCCGAGAACAAACAGAAGCAGAGAAGCAGAAGCAGAACCACAAGAGAGAACGCAAGAGAAGGCCGGAGAGCCCAGATAGAGTGAAGACTTTCTGGGGACTGGGAGGCCTGCCTGCTGGGACCCCTGCCTGCTGTGTACCCGGTAAATCCCAACAAAAGCCTGAAAAGCCACTGAGGGCTCCATGACTCCTCCTTTACCCCGTCTGCATGGGATCATAGAAAACCTCCCCAGTGGCCCGTTCCTGCCCCTACAACAAGGGAAATGAAAAGGTGGGGCGCACAGACAGTGAGCGATATGGAGATTACTTGGTTAATACATCCTGCTGGAAACTGCCTGAGCTGGGACCCAGGGTATAAGCTGAAGGCAGACAAAACCAGACCCCCTCCAGCCCACATGTCCTCCCTTTTCTCCCAAGCTCAGCTCTTAACTCCACCCTTCGTTTGCAGAAATGCCCCTCAAAAAGTCAAGGGTCATGGCAGGTCCACGGCATGCTGGGAGCTGTAGTCCCAGTTGCCTGGGATCTCTCTGGCATGGGAGTGGAGTCCCCAAAACATTAGTGGGTGGAGTTCATTCAGGGCATCCTGTTTCCCCAACAACTGTACTTAGAGCTACTGTGCCTGCCCTCAAACCAACTCTCATTCAACATAAGTAAACACTGTTAAGGCTATTTCACATTTTTTAAAATAGCTTGATAATATCTCACTACATTCATTTCCTTTGTAATATCATCTGTTTTACTTAATGCATTATCCTGAGAAAAGGCTTGCAGGCTGTCCCTGACCTGGAAACAGGTAAGAATCTTATCCAGGAAAACAACTGTGGGTGTGTGTGTGTGTGTGTGTGTGTGTGTGTGTGTGTGTGTGTGTATATATGGCTTATATAAATATATATAGGGCATATATATATAGCGATTATCCTACTAACACAATGCTACATATCATTATTAAAATAATAGCGTGATAAAAAATATTATGGAAAAATAGTTGTGATACTGTGCATGAAAAAGCAGGACATAAAACTGTAAACAAACATAAAACAGGAAACAAGCCACAGCTGATGGTAGTTATTTGGCTGATGGTGCTCAAAAGACTGGGACAGAGCACAGTGGATAGTCAGAATAATTTTCTAGCTTTCTTAAACCCTGGGAGAGACTCCATGGTCCTAGAAGGGAAACCAGGAGAGGGGCAGCTCCCTCACCTGTCGGGGGGCGGAGGGGTGTACAGAGGGAGGGGTCTGCCTGCTGCATTTCTGCCGGACCCTCAGAAATGAGTGACATGGAAACTACGTAAGCCTGATCTCCTTCCCAGACCCACAGAGTTTGTATTCCACTGGTCCGGGCTCAAGGTTATTGAGGTCCTTGCCTGGGAAATTAAGGGGTGCCGGGAGCGAATGGCATCTTACAACTGCCTAAGCTTGATCCCACCAACAGGATCACATCCGGCATCAATATTTATCACTGACTAATTCATTTGGCATCAACCTTTATAAAATGGCTTGAACTCTGAAACACAAACAAAAACAACAGCAACCCCATGACAGAGGTAACAAAATTGAATAAAGGCAATTAAGAAAATTGTTTAATAGTATCTAATTCTTCTACAACTTCATGATTAAGATCACCAAGTTCAATGTGCAAATCTGTAACCCCTTTTGTTAAAGCAGTTCCGCATGGTAATTCTTTTCCTTAATCTTTATCTTTTCTGTTTCTCTGTAGCCTATAATTTCTAAAGCGTTGCCTGTCGGGGCGGGGAGGTAGAGAGGTGATTTTACTGCACAGCAAATTATCATTATTAGCACAAGCTGCATCCGTAATGAGCTCATTCTTGCCACTAAAAACAATTCCATTACCTGATAAGACAAAATTCCCTGGGTCTGGAAATGCCTAAGTACCAGAGGGTAAGGATTTGTATGTTTTCTTATGACAACAGGGCCTTTTATCAGGAGAGTTTGACTTCCGTGGCAATTAAAGTGCTCCTTGGGGGTCACTTCTTTCTTTCTCTGTGGGACAACTGATAGTTCCATGAGACAGGATGCTGGGAGGGGTGTTCCAGCTCCCCACTCACTCCCACCCCACAGAGAGGTAACCAGGAGTCTAGCAGGATCTCACTAACAGATTTAACTTTGCTCCAGCATTGCTGTGAAGGTCATGGACGGAAGTCCACTCCCTGGGTTCAGATCTCAACACTGTCTTTTTTTCTGGCTGTGCGATCCTGGACCTTTCCTTCACCACTCTGAGCTTCAAATTCCTATTATGTAAAATGAAGATAACAAGAAAGACTACCTAGTAGGCCGAGTATGAAGATCAAGAGATTCAGCAAGTGAGTGTGGCCACTTGAGTTCAGTAAATGGGACCCGTTACCACGGGGGTAAAGGGACCTGGGAAATTGCTGTAGCCAACACATTTTGGGGGGCATGAGTCTCTAAGTGCTCACAGAGATGTCATTAACAGCAGAGGATTCCAGGTTCCTGGTCCCCAATGAAGTGCTCTCACAACACTGCTCTTTTCCCTGGGGCAGGCAGAGCAGGTGTGACTAGTCAAGAACACACACCGAGCTGCTAGTGTACACAGAGTGCTTGCTTGTATAAGGAGCTGGCCTAAGTGCTTTACTGAAGCCTTCTTTAACACGTACAAATATTTTCATTGTACGGGTGGGTAAACTGAGCCACACAGAGGTTAAGAGGTTCGCCTGGGTCCCAGGGACAATAAGCGGCAGAGCCAGGATGATGAAGCCAGGCAGTCAGGGTCCAAGCACTTGACCTTGATGCCACACTGCTGCTGTCTCAGAACTCCCCTGTGACTGCTGTCACAGCGACACCAACACACCAACGCCTTTTAAATGAGCTGAGTCATGGTTTTAACCCCAATCAACTCAGAAAGCAGATGAGAGGATAAACGAGAAATACAAAGACCTAATAAATGTGACAGCCAGTATAACGGGACCAAGGATGTTGAGAGTTGGGCTTTGGGGTGCTCAGTTTTTGCCATAACCGACTGATTTTGACAGAGAAACTCACAAGTCTTGGCTCTCAGTTAGAAATGGTAATAATCGTCCTGCATGAGATGACATGGGAGAATTAAATGCCATAACCCACACTGTGACTTGGCATGCATTTTGCAGGCGTAACACTCACAGGCAGACCTTCTCTTCCTGTGGCCACAGCTCAAAGCACTAAAAAGGAACAACCACCAAAACACAGAAGTTAAAAGTTTCAATTAGATTCAAGATTTGATGCCCTAATGTTCCCACTCTGCTCTGAGGCCCTGTTCGTCAGCCGCCTGCCTTCCTCCAAGTTTAATGAGTTGGAGTCTTGCCTCCTTCCTAAAAGGTCTCTGGGTTCTTGAGCAAATTGCCCCTCTCCCCTAACAGGTATCCAATTTGCCCAGTGCCTAGTCTTGAGGTCCCTTCTCAAGGGTGAACTGTCATGAGGTGAGATGGCTCAGACAGGCAGAGCTCCCCATTATCCTGACAGCCTCTCTTTATTTCCACTGATGAGGGTGAGCTTGGGGGCAGAGTGGGGGACACAAGCCTCCATGATTTTTCAAAAAAAAGAAGGACCTACCTCCCCTCCAAATACATGATCCTCCCCCAAATGTGGCTGATGCATCCCTAACAAAAGTCCCATGCCCAGATTTGGCTTTAATCTGGATTTTCCAAGGGTTGAGGGGGAATATGTACCCCACCTTTCCTGACCAGCCTGGGGCATCATCAGGAAAGGACACCAGGCTCTCCCTGGCCTAGAGGAGCTCGGCACTGAACCCAAGGTCCTTCTGACCTGCGGTCCTTGTTTCGGATGTGAGATCTCCTGACACCAAGGGCAAATCTTCCCCAGGTCACTCTTTCTACCTGGGGCAGTCCCTTGTCCTTCTCAGTGTCAGAACTGGCTCCAGGGTCTGGGTAACTATCAGCTGGTAAGAGACCCTAATTTAAATTGGGTAAATTGGCCCAAAGTCAAATTGGCATTGGGCCAATTTACCTAAAACCACTTCCACTTGCTTAATCTCAACCCACTTTTGGTGAGTGCTTAAAATGTTTTTTGACCTCTTCATCTACGGGCCTTTCTGACTTATTCTATAATTTGTGTACACGTTTTTATCATATCTGCAGCTTGGTGAAGGAGAGTGTTTTCGTTTCACTTGGTTCTCCTTTTATCCTCATTTTATCTACTTACAAACATTTTGAAGATCCTTTGCTAGAGTGTCCAAAAGATTATCGATTAGATTTATTGTGATGCAGCACTTCATTTGAGTGCTACCTCAGTCCCCTGCCCTGAAGATGCTTTCAGCAGGACACAGATCACTGAGGGCTTCCCTTCTAAACCAGGGATGCGAAACTTTTACTTTAAAGGACTAAATGGTCAATATTTTAGGCTTCGTGGGACATCTGGTTACTGTCCCAGCTACTTAAATTCTGCCATTTTAGCAGGCGTAGGGTAAGGTAAAAAGTATCAGGCTTTTCTGCCCTCCTGCCATTAGGATAGATGAGGGAACACTGTGGTCCCAAATGCATGCCTGATGGTGGGCACCTGAAGTAGGGTGCGGGCATAGGTAGATGGGATTCAACTGGGCTAAGACTAGGCTTTAAAGGGCGGCGTCACGGGGACGCCAGCAGAAGCCAAGAACGAACAGAAGCAGAGAGCAGAGAATGCCGGAGAGCCCAGCTAGAGTGAAGCTTGCTGTGTACCCTTGCCTGCTGTGTACCAGGTAAGTCTAAATTAAAAAACCTACAAAAGCCACTGAGAGCTCCAGGACTCCTCTGATACCTGGTCTGCTGGATCAGAAAACTTGCTCCATGGTCCTTCCTGCCCCACAGCAGGAAAGCAGCTATAGACAATGTCACATGAATGGGGGTTTGTGTTTCCATACAACTTCATTAATAGGCACTGAAATTTTAATTTTGCCTGATGTTCCTATACCCAACATATTACTCTTTTGAATTTTTAAAACAAATTTAAAATAGGCAAACTATTTTTAGTTGGAGGGCTCCATTATTAGGAGCCTGTGGGCTTTACTTTGCTGAACTCTGCTCTGAACCCCCAATGAACCCAAGAGGTGACTCTAGTCAGGATCTAGTCATTTTGTAGGCAAATATGGGTCAAGCAGCTGCCCCCTTGAGAGAGACTCCTTTGAAGAACTTCACGGGTTCAGCACTCGGAGAATATAGCTCAAACCCCACTCAGAGAGGGAGCGAGACGAGGGTGATGGGGAACTCATATTAGCTGGAAGAAAGCCTGCAATTGCTCCAGAGAAAAGGTAAAAACAAAGGCCTGTAGAGGCTTTTCATACCCAGCATTAAAGTTAAAATCTAATTTAGGTGAAAATGGATGCATAGAAATTAAACGTGTGCGCTAGGCTTTTGTCATTAAGTTGTGTACCCTGTAATGAGAGCTTTACCAAATTTATTCCCTTGGCTTGCAAATAGAGATGCTTTTTGAAATTTGATTTTGTTGTTTTACAAATTGTTTTAGCTTTGTGAATAGTGCAACCTCCATTTCTGATCTGCCTCAAACAAAAATAGAGCATTAAAGTGTTTAAGATTCAATCAAAGGCTTGCTGTGAGCGGCACAATATTAAAATAACAGAAAAATCAATTCAATTTTTATTTTGAACATGATTTGTCACAAATAGCATTCTAATAGATAACACTGATTATATGGTAGCAAACGTAATTTATATATACTGAGCTCCACGCCTTTGTCAGAGTCATCATTAAGGAATTTGACACATATGCAGGAAAACAATAAATGTCAACTGAAATATATATCAGTTAGATATAAATGGGATGCCGGAATAAGTGATGCTGGCACACGCTATACTTATAAGTAATAATATGTAGTCTAAAGTAGCTTGCGTTTTCAAACAAGAACTCTCTTTATGTTGTCATTTAAAATATCTCATATTTCCGAAGGTCAGGAATAAATGGCACTATTAGCATTAAAAGCTAGTAAAAGAAAAAGTAATTTGTTGCTCATTTAACAGAACATTTTGCAAAATAGCTTTATAAAGTGTTCATTTTTTTCCCCTTCTTATGCAGGCAGCGAAGACAGGATGAAGGCAGCCAGTTCTTAGTGAAGGGCTTTTATTGCATCTTTGTTACTGATAACATCTTGATTCAGTGAGATCCTTGTGGAATTATGTGGCTTGTGGTTGGCTAGTAAATGCTAAGAAATAAAGCTAGGAAGTTAACATTGACTCAGTAACTGGTTTCCACACTGGACAGAAATGAGCCATCATAGAACAGTTCTACTTCAATCTCTTTTCGAGTGTGGGTGAGTGGAAATAAAAAAAAATCCCAGGTGTGAAAGTTTATTGAGTTTACCCACAAGTTCCTTTTATTTTAAGCGCTATTTTATAAAGAACATTTGGCTGTCCAGTGTGGTTTTAAACCCAAATAGCTTTTCCATATTCAGACTGGCATTCAGATAGGTTTGCATGCTATAAAATACTTATTTTAATCATGTATATTATGTTGAGTGCTATTTCCAGGAGCAACTCAAATATTCAATTAAAAAAAAATGAAGCCATCTACTCCGCTGCCGTCTTGGCTGGCTCCAGCTGTGTGCCCTAGGTTTGGGTGTGACCTCACTAGTAGTGCAGGGAATCACAGCCTGATTCTGGGGATGTGACAAAATCCAAGACTGAAGATGGAGGGATCTGATGTGACAAACACAGGTGTCCAAGAGAAAGAGCAGAGAGGCTTTTGCTCTGTGTCTCAGGAGGGACCAATGGTAGATAAATCAGGATTTGAATAGATGCAGATGTGGGGCCATCCTGGAATTATAGAAAGTCACTCAGGGTAGGTTCTCTATTGATTCTGGCAGAACGATAAAGGAGAATCCTGGAGCACTCAATGGCTTTTTTAGGCTGTAATGTTTATTCTACGCCAATTGTTAGGGGGCATCCGCAGGCTGGCAAGGCAGGGAGGCTGGGGGCACAGGGAAAATGGGAGTTCTCCCAGGGCCCCAATAATTCCTTATTTTTTTCTCTTCGGGCTCTCTCTGGAATTCTCTCATGGTCTCTTCCTCTTGTAGCCAGCGCTCGTCCTCTTACAGCCAAGCCTTTCCTCTCTAGCCCCTCCAGCATAGCTGTTCCTGTCTGAGTGCAGCTGCTCCCATATCCCCAGCCCTCAGGGCCAGTAGCACACACCCATGCACGCCCACAGGCAAGTGTGCCTCCCACCTACACACCCAAGCACCTTCTGTATCAATGCAGGTGATAGTCACAGGTTAGTGGTGTAAAAACCTGACCAATTCATTTACCCTATAAGCTTCCATCCCAGCAGCCTCATGTCAGGAAGCCATGGGGTCAACAAGAAAGCTCCATCTTTTCCATCAAGCTGGCCTCCAACAATAGTGGGCTGGGTCCTGCAGCCAGGTTGGGGGAGGGGCCTCTGGATCAGGAAGATGCTTCCATGACTCATTCAGGTGGGGGCACAGCTGTTGGCAGCTCCTTGGCTCTGAGAGCCTGGAGGTGGCCAGATTCACTTCAGACAGGCCCTCGGGGTGGCCAGGGCTACACTCCAGCAGGCCTGTGAACTCATCCAGCACCCAGGGTCACTTTGGCAGTTGCCACTCCCTGGCAGGGTAAGGGTGGAGGTAACTCTGCCCCTCAGTGTTAGCCCTATCTGCCTGGTGCTGAGGTTTTTCCCTTCAACCCAAGGAGGGCTGGTGGGAAGGTTCAGGCATTTCCTGGGGCCCACTTCTACAATTCCAAAATCACTTCTGAAATGTGACCCATGAAGAATGTAAGCGGACACCTCCATGCTAAACCAAGGGTATTAAAACTTTATTACTACAGAGATGCGAGAGCAGCACCAGATTTTTAACAAGGGGAAAGAGTCTGCAAGACGTCCTCTTTCACGGTGTCACTGCTACAAAATTTATACCTGCAGAAGAAAATATTTTCAGCCTGAGGCGTTCTGGCTGGAGGAAATGCAACCACAGGTGCGTCAAGAGCATTCTGGCACCCCCTGGCATGCAGATCCCCTTGACTGAATGCTGTGCAACACCAGGTGGAGTTCAAGTGATTCTTACTAAAAAACGTTCAAAGAACATCCTCCTTCCTGTGTCCTTTTACTGAGCAGAGAGTGAATCAGCTGGGTAAACCTATAAGGCTTCATTTACAAAATGGGCAGGTCTCCAGTGGGCCTGTCCATGGGTTCCGGGAGTGAGGGGAGCCCCAGTCTGCCCAGAGTGAATGTTCCCTGCAGGGTTAGGATCATGGGGGAGGTTCTTCGTGCACTGTTTATAGAATGTGAAATGTGGCAGCCATTTTGGAAAAGTCTAGCAGTTTCTCGAAAGGTGTTGAACCATAGAATTACCATACAACCTTAAATTCTGCAATTTGGCATGTACCCAAGAAAAATGAAAACAAATGGTCCCATACAAGCCTGCACAAAAGTGTTGATATTATAATTAGTCTTTTTCCTGGTCCCTTATTTAGGTTTTCTAAATTCCTGCTATGAGTGAGACCACCTGGTATTTTTCTTTTTCTTTCTGGCTTATTTCGCTGAGCATGATCCCTTCCAGCACCATCCATGTTGCTGCAAATTGGATGAGTTTATCTTTTTTGATTGCTAATTATAATAAAGTAAAAGTCAAAATCAACAAGCAACTATAAACCAGAGACACGCTACGGGGTTGGGAGAGGAGGGAGTAGGATCAAAACAAGGGGTGTGGGAATTGCATGGGGACTAAAACCAAGATGAAAATGCATATATCATGCAAAAATGAAAAATGATATAAGAAATATATAAAATTTAAAAAGTGTCAATAGCAGCTTCATTCATAATAGCCCACAAATAGAAACAACCCCATCAACCCATCAACTGAGAAATGGATAAATATCCATATAATAGAATATTATTTGAGAACAAAGGAATGAAGCAATGGTTCAGGCTACCACAGGGATGAACCTTAAAAGTATCTTTGACTAGAGGGGGTACTTGGCTCAGCCAGCCCTGCCTCAAGGCTCAGCTTCAGAAGGCAGCGCTTTGACGAGGGCATCCTTCTGTGGCATGAGGACTTCGGTGTTCAGGATACATAGTGTGTGAGCTTACAATCAATACCTGCACCCACCCCTACCTAAGTGCTCTGAAATCTAGACCTTACCGCTATGCATTCCACTGTCAGGCCTTGTAGAGTCCTCAGCCCTCATGTCTGTGTGTGAGTCAGATGGGCACTGAGCAAGAGCACTGGGCTGGATGCCAGAAGAATGGGTGGAGTCCTTGTGCCCCTAGCTCCTGCTCTGCTCCCAAATATACCAAGTAACACACAGTGATGTGAACTCTGACCCTTCCAGGAGCTGGCTGAGGAATCGGGATCACCATTCACACTCAGCATTTAAGTCATGCAGCTGAGCAAGATCTCAATATGTATTTTTGGAGTTCAATATTCTTCCTCTAGCTTCCTTACATGGCTCCAGACAAATTACTTGATTTTTCGAGTCTCCCTTTGCTCATCTTCAAATGAGAACGGTTGAGAGGTAATGGCTAAGTTGGCTCCAACATGCCATTATATTCTGATTATTCCTTTCAAGGTGGCCTTTCTTCCCATATTCTAAATGCAGCTGCATCCTCTCTCCACTCCTACTAAGTCAGACTTGACTTCCACAGGATGAGAAGAGTGAGCTAGACCTGACGCAGTCAATATCCCTCTGCTGCCATAGTCTCCAAACAAACCAATTTACATTAATAACTGCACTCAACTGAAACGAGTGGGGAGATTTCCTACAAGTACCCCCTAGGTGTTTTCCTTATCATCTGAGATAAAACAGTCCCATATTTGCCTGTGTCTCAGATCTATGCCTTACAACTCACCCTTGTTGCTGCCAATTTGAATTTGCCTCATTTATTTCATTGTTCAAAGTAAATCAGGTGTGTAGTTGGAGGGTTAAGGTGAATAGGTAGGTGGGTAGGTGGATGGGATGATGGCCAGATGATCAAAGAATGAAGAGGCAAAGGTCTGGATGGATGAGTGGATTGGAAAGTAGACTGTAAGTATTAGTGGATAGGCAGAAAGGGATGATGAATGGATGGGTGGGTGGATACATAGATGGTAGGTGGGTGACTGTATGTATGTATGTGCAGACTGACTGGTAGGTAAACAGAGACAATAAGACTTAGGTGGGAAAAAAGATACTCACTCAGTCCCATCTTCACCAGTTTGCACTGTGATTTGAGAAGCCCCCAATTTGCGTTTTAAGAGATTTATCCCATTGCTGTTCCAGAGGAACTTAACCTTCTCAATTTTTCCAACATTGAGGTCCACATCAATGTCATCCATATAACTTGAATCTGGCTTGAGGGATCCACTGAAAGCACAGACAGGAAATGTTACATCAGCTGGCTATATGAAAACATAGGCTGAAAGCAATACATTGCTTCTCCAAACAATAGCTGCTCTTGCTGGTTTTCTGAAAATACTTTGAATGACTTCATACATACTCAGGGGTTGCTAAAACACACATGTGTTTGTGAAGAACACACCTTAGAGGGAAGTCCTTAGAGGGAAGTCAAATATCTGGGATGTCCTATATTGACCCTAAAATTTCACTACATGAAAAATTAATACAATGTCTTGTTTAAAGATGCATGTAGTTTAATGGAGGCAAGTTGTGAGCACCTCATTAGGCTGCATAAGAAGTTGTCAAAGACCTTTAACTTACCATGAAAATAATTATGTCAAAGTGAGTGCAAACACAGAATCTAATTTTAGGATACAGTTATGCATTCATCCAACACATATTTACTAAGCACCTCCTATGCCCGGCAGAAGCTCGGTGCTGAGGTTACCACAGCAACAGGAAGCTGGCCCCAGGCTCCATGTGTATGTATATGTGGGGAGTGGAATGTCTCTTGGAGGGAGCTGCCAATACTGTCTGAGGATAATTTGACATTGACAACACCTATATCAGGAAGCGACAATTGACATTCCAAAAGGAGTTGGCACAGCACTCAATTGAAATAGTGGGTTCCCTCTCTTTCTGATCTCCACTCTTCTATGTAAAATGAGGTGATTGAACTCAATGCTAAGACTTCCTTTCAGCTCTAATACTGGAGGAGTTCATGGTTCTGTATAACAATGGATGGCTAACTATACACCCCATTTTTTTAATGAATAATCGGCTATGGAAAGTATGGTCATTTCACTTTATCATGGAACTTACTTGAAAATTTCATATTGTTTTGAGTTTCCATTGCTCCCATATAAAGCAATCTTGATGTAACCACTCATTTTCTTTTTTCCAGACAGCGTGACGGATACCCTGTATCTCCAACCTGTCCAAAGAAATACAATTGGTTCAATGAATTTGTTGAAAAAAATGACCCATGGAAGCATTCCTTTCCCAAGCTCTGAATTCCCCATGGTGGAAAAGTCAAGGGGAATGTAACTCATGGTTTCCTTCAATGAAGTTGGGGTATCAGGAATTCAGGGTTTAGGTGCGGGTGAGGGACTCTGGGAAGTAAATATTATCAGAGCCATTTACTGCATCTGCACAGGGAGAGAGGTTTGTGGCTTTGACATTTGGACAAAGAATCCAATGCTTTTAGGTTTTTTTTTTTTTTTTTTTGGCTATTTTCATATACAATGGACATATTCTCAATATAAAAACAACCCAGATAAATTTAAATACCCTTTTGTTAACACACCATCTACCTGTTCTCCATCCCAGGTGTCTTCCTGAGATAACCAGTTTGGCCTCCATAACCAGTTTGGCCTCCTCACTCATCACACACACACACACACACAAACAGACACACACACACACAAACACGTATATCGAAGAATATATAGGTGTTTTCCCTCTTCCATAAATAGCATCTACTGCTATTCTATATGATCTCCACCATCCCTACACGGTCCAGCCTCTGCCCTTTCTTGTGTTCCAGAAAGTCACCCCCACCAGGGATCCTTATCACCAACTTTGGGCTGGATTCAGCCAGTCAGAGGCTTGCATGGGACATTTGAAGACAGGAGGAAAGAGGTAGAGAAACTTGCTCTCTGTTCTTTCCTTGCTGCTGTACCAGATGCCAGATTCTGCTATGATAGTGCTCCATCCTAGAGGCTACACAGCTACCAGATTCTGGTGCCTCAGCAACCCTGGGTTTTTGTTTTGTTTTATTTTTTTGTTAAATCTGCCTACACCTCACAAAGCAGGCTTCAGTGAAATGCCTTTATTTGAACCACACGGATAAGTTCAGGCTCATTTTGGGACCCTGACTGATACAGGATGATGCCTTTTTACTTAACACGCCTTCGAGATTTTCTCTCTTCAGTCCCCAGAGCTGTCTCCTTCCTTTACTGGCACAAAACGGGCAGTATTTGGTTGTTTACTAATGGGGTAGTCATTTAAGGGTTTTTCTCCCCCACCCCCTCAGTTGTACAGTGGACATCCTGGTCATACCTTCCTTTTTTTTTTTTTTAAGAAAGAAAAAGTTGATTAAGGAAAAAAGGAACAGAAATAAAGTAGGACTCCCTGGCTGGGGGAACCAGAGCAGGGAGTGGCAAGGGAGCCTCGGTCATACCTTCCTATGTATGTACACAAGCATTCTCCTTGGGTACGCTCTGAGACATGGAAGGGCTGGGTGAAAGGAACATGCATGTCAGATGTCATGGGCACTGCCATGCTGTTATCTCTCTTGACAAAGATTGTGAGGAGTGCATGGAGTACTACATGTGAAAAGAATCTTGTTAAGCGCTGTAGAAAATTTTTAAAAATTTAAAACTCCCTCAGAAAATAATTACTGTTTTATTCAGACATTAGTTATAACAAATGAATCTTGATGAATTTATTGCCCTGTACCTTTTTGATTGAGAAGCTTGACAAAAATGACACGAGGAGTGTGTGTGTGTGTGTGTGTGTGTGTGTGTGTGCAGGGACACTAGTAAGACAGATAATCATGGTGGTGATGTCTTGGCTTACACTGACTTTGCCCACTTTTCTGTTCTTCTGTTAATGGGTCCATCCTTCCTGCCACAGGGGTGGGGGGACATGTGACCCCATCTGAACCATGCATCGCACTTGCCCCCACTGATCAGGATCACTGGTTAAAGGGGAGCAGATGAGACCCAAGACAAATGCCAGCCTCCTGTCCTTCTGCTACAACTTCAGCTAGTTGGAGTTGAGTTTCTGTCAGCTGCTAACCAAGGGTCCAGACGATGAGGCTGGTATATCTTTTAAAAATTATTTGCAAGAATGTTTAAATGAGTAAAATGGAAACTTACGAGTAAAATTGCCACTTTCTCCTGTGTTCAGGAAAATGGTTTGTCCCACAGCACTGGTTTTCCCCTGAAATTGGTCAGCGAAGTGACCCATTTTGGGGCATCCTCCAACAGGACAAGGGAAGCAGTTATTCTAGTGAAAAAAAAAATAGACTGTTTGTTGATGGTGCTCCTTTGACTCACCCCCTCAATCAGTCAGTCAATCGTCTTCCCATCTACCCCTCCTCTATTCATCACCCATTTACCCTCCATCCATCCTCTCACCCACCTACACATCCAAGCACCCATTCAGCCACTCATTCTGCCATCAATTCACCAATCCACCACCCATCATCAAAATTGTGCATAGAAATGTGTTGGCCCTGCAGGGTCCCCAAAGAAGTACCTGGGGAGACAGCCATACCCAGGAAGCAGGAAGATGAAGATGGAAGGGGAAGACAAGACCGCTCTAGGGAGGGGTAGGAGGGACAACACGTTGTTTCAAAAGAGCAGAGAAAGAAGATGTGTGACCACGTTCATCCCCATGCGTATTATTTGTTGAGAATTAACTGATCCTATTCGATGCTTCCCAAATGGTAGTTCCCTTCAGGCCAAACTAGTACTTTGTGCCACGGCATCTGTTCTCCTTTGTTCTTTCCCTTCCCACATCCATCATGTGCAGGGCAAAGATCTGTTTTGCCTCCTGAGAGCACAGGACAAATGCAGGAGGCTGTGTCTATTGTTAGCCTCGCCCTGGCAACGCCTGGCACGCCAAGGCTGCACAATGAGCTCTCCCAGACAGTGGGCACCAAATAGGATGTCCTCTCAGCCCAGGCATCTCAAAATTAGTTTTGAGAGGAAAACATGTGAGTGTAAACTTCTATCTATTTTATATTTATAAAACACTTTTATATTTACTTTTGAGAAAAATAGATGTTGATACTTCAGACATTAGCAACCACCTATGTAATAATTGATTCAGGTAAGAGGCTCGTATCTTTCATGTTGCTTTGTTGTTGGGGAACAGTATCCCTTCATAGATTAGTGGGGAAAATAGCGTGATTATCATGGGGAAATCAGGCAGACACCACCTTAACCAACTCATCCGACTTTACGTCATCAGTCACAGGGATATAGTCATAGAATGGACATCTCTGGTTGTGACACACCGAGAATGACCCGCTATCACCCAGGGAATCAGAAAGAAATCATCAAGTTCAGACTGTGAGATGTTCTACCGAACACCTAGGTTGGAATCCGCATAGCTGTCAATGTTCTGGAAGACCAAGGAAAACCCGGGGAAGGGTTCTAGATGAGAGGGGACTAGAGAGAAAAGACAACAGAAGCCATAAAGATGGGGGGCAAAGAGTGAAAAGAAGGGAAGGCAGGATATAGGGGAGAAATAAAGACGAAGGGAGTCGGGGGGAACCCCAAGTCTAGAGCATATTACTGAAGTATGTAGAGAAGTGTGAGTATGGACGCTATAGTAGCAAATACTAGCACATCACTGCTAAATTCCATGAAGGTTGCTTAGAGAATGACCTTACTCTTTGGGGTGAATGCTGAAGCATTTATGAGTAGAGTGTCATAATGTCTTTACTTTCACTTAGGGAACAGTATTCACATGCAGCCATAGGGGATGCTAAGAGTGGGTATGTCTAGGTGATGGCTGTACAGGTGTTCATTGTGCTTTTTCAACTTCTGTGTAGATTTAGCATTTTCCATATGAAAAGCTGGGGGTGTAGGGAAAGCCCCGCACAGTCCAGTCTGTGCCACCTGCCCCTATTCTCCCAGCTCTGTCCAGGGAAGGAGGCGCTATTAGCTAGATATTCCCAGTGCCTCCCCTCGTTGGTCCTGGAATCACAGCTCTGTTCTGCTCACACGCCAAGCCCCCAGCCCCTCCTGCAGCCCTGGCGTGACCTACCTTCTCAAACTCACTGTAGGAGGCACATGGGTAGCCCAGGAAGCCGTCGGGGTTGAGGATACTGCTTGAGTAATACTTGTAGCTTCTCAGGTGATTGCAAGCCACAAAATCTCGGGTTCCTGAGAAAGCAAAGGTCACAGGAGCTCACAAAAGGCTGTTCACTTTTGAAACCTGAACATTCAGACCCAGAGAGGAACCACCTTCACAATTCCCAGAGGGGAGTCTGCACTCCTTGGTGCCTAGGCCACCATTTAAAGCCGCCACCATTGACTCAGACATACTTTGGGGAAATTGGGACATCTGGGGGGTAGTTTCATAATGGTTGTTGGCTAGAGTCACCCCCCCCCCCACACTGTGTCCCCTGGCTGAGAAGGTGGTAGTCATCGTCAGGGCTGGCCAAGTGCTGGCAAGGGGGCAGGTCTAACAAGCACATTTGTCCAGTCCTCTGGAGGCGAAGCGTGGAGGGGGTGCGGGGAGTGAGAAATACATATGGGGAAGAGAGAAGGTTGGGGAAGAGGGAGGGAGAGACAAAGGAGAAAAGGAGAGAGGAGAGAAAGGTGAGCAAGAGAAAGCCAGCGAGGAGAGGAGAGGAGAGGCTACTAATACCTTTAAAGGGCTCCCAAGCCAGCCAGTTAACCGCCCCTCCCCCACCCCCTTGTAACATGATAAAAGATTAAACCCAGACTGCTGGTTCTTCTGATTTTTCACACACACACAAAAATCACAAGTATCTTGAATTTTCCATGAAAATCTTTCCATCCTCAGTGACAACAGTCCATTCCCATTTAAAGAACAGCCCCTGTAAAGGCCAGTTTCTACCAGGGACCACACTGGCCACACACTTCACAAGACCAACCTTTTTGTGGCCACAGGCCAGGAATTCCTCCCTTTCGTTGCTCCAAGCCCAAGCCCAGGGAGCAGCAGCAGTGGAGAGCAAGCTCACCCTGGCTCCAGCCACTCTCAGGGCATCTTACTGTCTTTTTCTTTAAACCAAAGTCCTCCTTTGGAAAATTGTTTTCATTTCTGCAGCCACTTGGTACAAAAGTCTCCACTGATCCTCAGTAACCCAGGATGTGCCTGGAGACCACTTCTGGGGAGTCTGGTGGGCTTTATCGGCCACCCAGGGAGAAAGGACAGTTCCCCTTTGTGTGGGGGGATTAGCTGTCCACACCCCCAGCTCCACTGTGCCCTCGGGCCAGCAGCTTCCAGCCAAAGCCAGGTCCCCGTGCCCCACACCAGTGCTCATTACCAGACAACAGAACCTGCTTCAAACTTAATTGTTTCTTTCATCTGAAATTGCTGCCCAGGGATCCCACAATAGAGGAGCGGGTGGAAGTAATTGTTCCCGGTGCCCAGCGCCTGCGTGACTCAGAGCTCCGCAGGGTAGACGCTTGTTCCCTGTTCACTGGAAATTGCCTCTTTAATTAAACCTTGGCTCCTTTCTATTGTGTGTGCCCTGCTCCTCACCCGTGGGCCCCCATGGGACTCTGGTGTTCTGTCAGGGGGCAGAACAGCCGGGTCTTCCTGGAGTTGGCCGACGTGGAGCAGAGAGGAGGTGAAAGGCTCCACTTCTGGTTGCTAGATCTTGGCCGTTGCTTTACTGAGTCGGCTCTTTAACTTCAATGTTTGGAAGATTCAAATGCCACAGAAGGCTCAGCTCACTGTCAAGACCGTGCTGAGTGAGTGCTGTGAGTCAGGCCCTGCCACAGCTGGGGTGGCCAGCCTGGGCCCGGGGAAGGCTGGCTCGAGAAGGTGAAATGAGAGTCCACAGAGTCCAACGCTGCTTCCAGGGAAGTGCATGAGTAGAGCTAAGGTCAGCGAGGGGAGAGGGTGCCTGAGGGCAGCTCATGTTAGGAGCACCCAGCCTGCTCTGGGAGATAGAGCCTGTACCTCCAGGCCTCCCTCTCCTAGCGTGCACTTCCCAACCCCAAGAACATGCCCCCCACTTTCTGTTCCTAGGACAACAAAGGCAAGTTCATCAATGTCTTTCACAGCATTGTTTGTGTCCTGCAGTTTTCAGGCAGCCAGTACAGAAGGCAGGACAGTGGGTCAAAGGCAGAAATGCCAGGTGACAGCCCGCTCAGCTCAGCAGCCTGATGACGGATGGATGGCACAGGCTGGGCATGAGGTCAGGCAAGCTTTATGACTGTGCTGAACCTGATTCCCTGTCGATAAACGGATCTGTAAAATCAGAGTTACTATGTGCTAACATTGTTGTGAGCTGGCACCAGCACTCAGCACCAGGGCAGACTCATTGTGAGAAAGGCCAGGCCACACCCGCCTTCTCCCCGAGGGAGCAGCTCCGGCATGCTATCCCGCTCCACCTACCTTCCCAGATTCCATTTATATCGATGATGGATGAAAGGACGTTTTTCTTACATCCAGGCATTTGCTTTCCTCCATTTGGAAAGAAATCCAGGTGGCCCACCTTTTGGCTCATTCCAAACCCTGAAACATGGTAAGCAGAGGTGAGCGGGGAGGTCCGTGGTCCCTGCTGAAGTAGGGGCCACAGAAGGTGCTCAGTTCATTTCAACCAGGACGAGAAGCTTCTTGGCAAATTCTCCCCTGGCACAGCCACCACTGTCCCTGGCTCTGCAGAAAGTTCTCAGAGATGAGCACTTGGCAAGACAAGGAGGGAGGAGAGAACAGAGGAAAGGGGGCTGGTCGGCTCTGGGTGAGCACACACATGTATTCGTATGTGTTTTTCTGTTTGTCTGTCTGTCCTGCAGAGGCCCTGAACAAAATCAACGTGCCGCCCTACGTGAGGTCCCAGCAAACATCTATCAGGATTGGTGTGACTTTTATTCCTTTAATCATTTTTCAACTTTGATGTCTACCTTATGTTCTTGGACTGAGACCACATACACTGTTTTATAGAGAGTGATGGCTAGGCGCCTTGGCTCTTGAGACACACAGACCTGTGATTGCAGCCTGGTTCAGCCTATAAACTTGGACGATAACTTCACTCTGCTGAGCCTCAGTTTCCTCAGCTATGAAATGGTAATAATAATAACAACCACGTTTTAGGGGTGTTACAATCATTAATGAGCAGCATTCAATGCAGCAGATGGTAAGCACTCACTAAGTGCTATCAGCATCACTGTTTGCATTTTGCAGGGATGAGCCAAGTATCAGGCGTAAATACATCTGCCACTCTGGACGTTGGCCGCGAGGGAAGGTCACAGGGCTGCAAACCTGAGTGAGAGTCTCCCACAGGCCGCTCATCCTCCCTGGGTGCCCAGGTTGACGCCACTGACGCTGTGCTTCCTGGTCATCTGCGGGTGGCACCTGCTTTGACTGGCTGACCCACGCTCTTCCTGCAGTTAACCATTTTGAATATCACCCCTGCAAATGTGGGTGGTGGGGTGGGTGGGGCCACCAGGATGCACTGTGCGGTGTCTGAGGTGGAGAGTGGCACTCACCGAGGTTGGGGATGATGGGAGAGGAATCCGTGTGAATCACATCCACAAACAAGGCATCGGAGGGATCCAGCCGAACCTCCTCGGGCGCGCCCTGGAAGCATGGCTCTGCGGGGTCCAGCCCTGGGGGGGCGGGTGCACAGGGAGCACACTCTCAGACAAACCAGACTCTAAACCCTGAACCCACAAACCGAGCGTGAACATCTTGGGCAAAGGGCTCCATACCCAGCAGGCATGGTTTGGGGAATTAGATCTGCTTGGGACAGACAGGCTGGAACTGGGCCCACTGCCGGTCAAAGAACGCTCAGAAAGTCCCAGCCCCCAGCCCCACGCAGAGTCTGGGTGGTGTCCTTGCACCTCTCCCTTCCCTCTTGCCTTTTCCGCGCATCTGTGTTACTGTCTGGTATTGCTCTCCAAGACAGCAAGTCCCCTGGCCCCCCCTCGGCTCCTCCCAGTCCCGAGACACTATCTGATCCCTTGTGTCCTGCATGCGCTGCTCCCCAGCCTGTGTCCTCTTCCCTACCACCTCCGCTGCTAAATCCTTCCCCTCCAAGGCCTGGCGCAAACACCACCGCTGCCTGGAAATCTAGCCTCTGCGTTCTCAGCCCATTCCATCCACATCGTATAGAATTATTTTGCATTTATCAGTTCTGGTTTGAATTAAATTTGCCTCCTTAGGTGTCTGCCTCCTGGACTAGATTGTGGATTTCCTGAAGCAGGTGGTGTGTCCAGTTCACCTTCAAGGAAAAGCAGAGGCTGTGAGGAGCAGCACACTCACACCCAGGGCCATATTCTTGCCCTGATTCTGCTGGGGCCACATGCCTGAGCTCTCTGAGCTTCAGTTTCCACACCCAGAAAGTGGATGTGGCCCCCATTACAGGGCCCTTGTCAAAGCCCAGGGACTATTAGCCCCTTAGCCTCACTCAATGCCCTGAGCTCAGGAGACATTCATTAACAGTTGACTTGAGCTGTCTGCCAAAGGGATGTGCTGATGCGGCTGCACAAAATAAATAACTGCATCTGTCTTGGGAGACTTCGTTTTGCCGAGGGCGCCACCCATACATTCATTATTTACTGAGTCCCTCCCAGGCCGCAGAGGTCAGCTACCCGCTTCCATTTCCTGCCTGTGCCTGTCACAACATAAATTTTTGTAGAACCGATGAATTAATTTTTTAAAAAAAAATCAGTTCACCTCTTTTCCCCTTTTGCTGGACTAGCAATAAGAACCCTAAGTCACGGGCTTAATGTGTCAGTTATATCTTTCATTTCTTTCATAAATGAAAGCATTTTTATTTACAATCATATTTTCTAATATACGTAAAAATAATAGAGATAATTATTTTTTGACTTAAGTTCAGGCACCGCCTGAAATCGGTTCCAGGAGGACCAGTAGGGGCGCCCTTCTCCATGGCAAGTGCCGAGTGTCGGGGCTCCCCGCGGTGCCCCAGGCTGGGTGCCAGCACCCCTACCTGTGATCCTGCCCACTTTTCCTCCCAGCCGCCTGCCCGCCTCGCCCGCCACGTGGGAGCCCAGGCTGTGGCCGATGATGTGCACGTCCTCCAGGCGGTAGCCCAGCTCGGTCTGCAGGGGAGGGAAGGCTTGTCAGGGAGGGGGTGAAGGGTTGGGGGTGGGGAGGAGCCTGGCAGGGAGCTCGGGGAGGGGAGACCCATCTCCCACAGGCAGCCAGCCGGTATGCAGGGCAACAGTGCTGACCAGCGGCTGCCGCCTCAACTGCAGGCCGCTGAAGCACACCGCAGGCTCCTCCACGGAGGCCGACTCCCTCCCCTGTCTGGGCTCCAGCTATCTGGGAGAGTGTCTGCGCCTGCTCTGTGCTTGCCCAGAATAGACCTTCCAGAAGCTTGTGAAGGACCTTGCTTCTCTGGGCTGAGATCTGCCAGGCAGCCCAGCCAGCTCTAGAATTCCCAGAACAGCCTGCAAGAAAGGCTTTATTGCATAAAGGGAAACTGAGGTTCAAAGAGATTGGTTTGCTCCAAGTTCCCCAGCTGGGGATCCATCTGCAGGGCCAAAGGGAAGTGGGAAGGGTGCACATTCATCTCCAGAAAGGTGCTCCTGGGCTTCTAGTCCTGCCTGTGTGTGGGTCCCCAGGCTGCCTCTGGGAGCAAAGTTTGCTGGCCTGCCCCCACCCCGTCCCCCTTTTCTCCCAGCCTGTTCCCTGACCCCCAGCTACCAGATGTGGCTTGAGGCTCACCGACCCCCAGCTACTGACCCCCAGCTACCAGATGTGGCTTGAGGCTCACCGACATGGCTTGTATCAGGTAGGCGAGCTCAGCTCCCACCACGCGAGTGTTCTGGACTGCTTGGGTGTACCCAGTCAGCGCTCCTCGCCGCCAGTCCACGCAGATGCAGTTCACCTGCTCCACTTTAAACATGTTCTGGAGAAGACAAGAAAGAGGGAGAAACTGATTCATTGACAACCACAGGCTGCTTCCTCCAGAGGTGAGAATCCACAGTCCTGAAGCCTCTGGTTAGTGTCAGAGCCTTGACATTCCTCATACTGGTCATATCCTCACCATGCCCATGTGAGCTGGGCATATTATCCCCACTTGACAGATGTGGAAGCTGAGGCTTGAATTGGAGCCTGTGACTTGTCTAATGCTCACAGATGCTTGTTGACATAACTGGATCAGAAAGATCCTTTAGATCAGGGTTTAGCAAACTACTACCAAGGGCCACATCCCTGGCTGGCGCAGAGCTCCGCTGGCACAGCCTGTGTGCCTGTTGTCAGCCTCTGAGCCACAACACAGACAACCTGAAGCCACATGACCCTCGAATGTCAAGATAGTCCCTGCCAGGTCCTCTACAGGGGGTTCACTGATTCCCTGAACTACAACTTCAAGCCTCTGGTGCTGCTGTAAGTGCTGCTTCTATCATCCCAACAATGCAACCGTGGGAGATACAAGGTTTCGAGGGGCATATTTAATGAGATAAGCTTGAGGTTGAGGTTGGGTACAATCCAGGGAGACATCCTTCTTCCTTGTCATGTGGTGTGACCACAGTCTACTGTCCGAGCACAGACACTGGTTCTCTGATGGGGGAAAATGCCAGAAAGGGTCACTCCACAGCTTGGGTTCACCTTGCACCTTGGTTTGAGGTGGGGAGGAGATGGCTGGAGGCCAGGACATCATGTTGGAACTCATACCCCCAACTGTCCCATCTCCAGGCCACATTGCCTCCTTCTGGGATTCAGGGGTATTTGTGAACACCCCAACCCATAGAGTGACAGAGAACCCTTAAGTAGAAGTAGCTTGAGGTCTGGAGCAGTGTAGACTAAGTCCCTTGAAGCCATGTCCAAGTTCATCCCCTACAGGCTAAGCTGTGGGCACACAGGATGGGCTTGTGGTATCTTTTGAACAGAAGACTTAGTTTTGTGTTCCATTCCCAAGGATTTGGGTAGGTATTGAAACTTCAAGGGTCCTAGTTTCCTCATCTACAAAATGGGGGCCACAACTAGACCTTCCTCACAGTGTTGCTTGGACAAAGACTGAAATGATTCACCAGTGTTGGGAAAAGGATATGTGGAATAAGAATTCACTAATAACATTCATGAGAAAAACATAAAAGCTGTGCAGTCCAACACCCAGGCCACTAGCCACGTATTACTAAAAAATATTAATTAGGGCCTCCCTGGTGGTGCAAGAGGTTAAGTCTCAGCACTATGAAGCTATCTGATGACACTGCAGCACGAGTTCAATCCCCGGCCAGGGACATGACCCACATGGCACAACAGACCTCTCCTGTCTAGCCCCCTGGTCCCCTCAGCAGTACATTTCAGTGGATCTGCCTTTTCTGCTCCCCACTGTGTCTCTGGTGAATCCACTCACCACCCCCCCACTCCTCTGGCCTACACCCCAGCTCTTGTAAGCACAAATAAATAAAATTAAAAAATTAATTAAATGAAATATATTTGAAAATTCAATTCTTAGGTCACGCTAGTCTCATTTGGAGCGCCCAGTAAGCACGAGTAGCTAGTGGCTTGGATCGTGTAGATGAACGGAAGTTTATTTGCTGCAGTGTCCTCCCTGGGGCTTTCTGATTGGGCTCTGGGTCTCTCCAGCCTCAGGGGATTGGGCAGGAGTGGGTGGGTTGGGAGAACCTGACCTTGGATGCCACTGAGAGTCCAGGTTCTTCCTGAGGTGGTTTCAGGAAGGACCCGCATCTCCCTGGAGTATTTCCTGTCCAGGTCTTGAGGCATTGGGGTGACAGTGTTTGATTTGATCGGGATGGGGTCTCAGCAGAGTGGCCAGGTGAGGAGGGGCCCCTACCTTGCACATGTCTGACAGCCATTTCTCCTCCCCCTTGTCTATGAAGCCGTGAACGATGAAGCGGGTCTTGCGGCCCAGGTTGAAGTTTGAAGCCTCGACGGTGTTTAGGTCCATGACACTGAGCAGCTGGTTTAATTAGAAAAGATAAATATGAATGCTGGAGCCATTCGAATGGCATGGAGCCATTCAAAGTAGTTCAGCAAGATTGGGGTCACAGATACAATTCCCGTGGAGCTCGGTCAGACTAGAACAGGACCTGACCTGGGGTATGAGGATAACTTCATAAACTTTCTGTTAGTTATGAAGTTGGGCATCAAAGCACAGTCACCTTAGCAACATTGTCACCAGGATGTCACATCAGAGTTGTTGCAGATAGCTTAAAATATCATTTATACTCATTATTATATTAAATACAGTTTTACTAAACCACCCCTTAGGCCATGTTATTTGGTTAGATAATAAAGCAACACCATGCACGCATAGTGATATCTCTCATATTTATCTTTTTAAAATGTTCTGCTGTTTTCCAGTAGAACTGGTTTCCTTTGTTATCCAATATTTAATTTTACACATTTAGAAACATTCTCCTGAGAGCAGCTGGCTCCTAGTTCAATGGAGCTGCCAGGGGCATCACACGTTCATAGGATTTAAGAATAGTCCTAATGCCACCCCCTATTCAGGCCCATCCACCAGTCCCCAAGGACATGATGCTTGGAGCAAGACCACACAACGAAACAGCATGATAACCCCACGGAAGCAGACTCCCAGCTGGAGGTGTTGAGTGGGGAGTTTGTCACCAAGAATCCCACCGTGGGTGGCCTCAGACTGATATCTGGCTCTCTGACCTCTGTGGGGGATAGGAGCTCTGAGCAGCTTGAATTCTGAGCAAGTTTTTTTCATTTTAATTTTTATAAAAGTACCATTGGTATATAACGTTATATAGATTTCAGGAGGACAGCATTAGATCTGGATATTTGTCTCTATTGCATAATGATCACTACCTATCTAGTTTCCATGCAGATTTTGGGAATTGACCCTGATTTGCATACCTCCACCCCCCATCCCATCTGTCAATACCATTCTATTCTCAAAATCTGAGAACTTTCAGGCCTCCCCGGTGGCGCAGCAGTTGAGCGCTGGGTTGCGAAGCTGCCCCGCAGCCTCTGCAGCACTGGTTCGATCCCCGGCTGCTCCCCGGCCACCGGAGGAGGGTCCCACATGGCGCGCAGACCTCTCCTGCCGCCCGCTGCTCCCCTCAGCAGTGTACTTCGGTCCTTCTGCCTGCTCTGCTCCCCGCTCTGGCTCTGGTGAATTCTCTCACCCTCCCACTCTTCTGACTGTACCCAGTGCTTATATAAATAAATAAATCTTTTAAAAAAAAAAAAAGTCTGAGAACTTTCCAGACCTGGGGAAAGAATTGAATAGACATGTTCACAAAGCTAGCATGGCACCTAATTACCTAAGTGCAAAAAGACCTACACGATACACACCAGGAAAATAGTCTGAGAAAGTTCTTTCTGGTTGTTTCTAAGCACCTGGGATAAACCTGTCCTGCTTCTACATAGAAGGTGTTCTGGGAACAGAGGTTGCTCCAAGGGTCCCCCCCTTTTCACTTGTGTGGTTAAAAGTCCCTCTCCTGTCCTGTCTTCTGGCTCCCTAGCAAGGATTCACTTCTCCAGCCCTAGGGGTTTCTCTCCCTCCACTGCTCTGTGCAGAAGGCAGACCCTTTCAGAGAAACACCAGGCCTGGGTTCCCCCATAAACCCTGCTCATACCCACACCTCCTGGGAATAGGGCTCAATGCCAGGTAGCACCTGAAGTCCCAGCACAAGTGTGGGATCGTGTAAGTTTCTAGGCTTGGCGTCTATAGATTTCATCAGATACACACAGGGGTCTGTGATCCCAAGAGTTAGTTGGGTTCTTGGTCTAAAGCTGGTGAAGAAGTGTCATCTGGAAAGTTCTAAAGCAACAGTGTGAAGGCTCCAGTGTGGACGCCTCTGTCTACCCTCCATGCAGTCTTCCCATACCCGTGCTTACTTGGAAATTGTTTGGATTCTCATTTGTGTACAGAAGAAATCGAGTGTTAATGTCCTTGGGATCCCAGGGAAAGATCTTTAAAGGTCGCTGAAGGATTCCTGCCCATGGTTTTTCATTGGAAAAGCATCCAAAAGGCTGGTAGCAGATCTCCTTTCCTGGGGCAAGAAGGGGAAGAGACAGGTCAGATACTTGTGAGGTTCTGAAAGGAAGAACAGCATTTCAGCCGCATAGCAGCTCTTGCCTTCAAGTGAGCTATGGGATTGCTAAAAATTCCTGGGAAACTTCTGCCTTAAAACTGCCTCTTCCAGGAAAGCCCTGGATGGCTTATTACATATATTCAAGCATCAAGTATTATCAAATGCCTGGGCGTGAGTTTGGTCATGCAGAGAAGCTACTTGATTTGTCTTGACATCTCCACTGGACGCAGCACTGGCCTGGCACTGGGGAGGGAGTCAGCACTACCTGATGCTATTGACGGTGATGAATTTCTAGTGATGATGATGCCTGTTGTTGCCTCCCTGGAGACCCATCCAGGTCTTCTCCAGCCAGGAGAGAGGCATGGTCCCTCTCTCTCTTAAGAGATAGTGATGCCATCCTTACCTGTGACTGTGGCCAGCAGGAGAAAGCCCACTGTCCAAGAGAACAGCATCTATATTAGGGAAAAAGACAGTGAGCGAAACAGAAACTCAGCCACCTGAGCTCCATAAGGTATTCCCTTGCGGTGGGGAGACCCCGAGGCTGAGGCTTTCCCCATTGGAAGTAGCACTCCAGGACCCCAGAATCAGTGGCAGCCCCCACTTCTGGGGCACATCCCTCTGGCAGCCCCAGCCCTCCCAAGTTCCCTGCCCACTGTGACTTACTGTGCCACATCAGAGTTTCCACCTACAACCCAGCACTTGGTCATGGCCTTTTATAACCAGGCTTTATCTTTGAACTCTTTAGAAGAAGGGATGGGAGGGATAGATAGGGCTCTGCTCGTGTGTGCTTTGAACCTGGGTTATCATAAACACATACAGCCCGCTCAGCTTGCAAGTGGGACTGTTGATAAAGTGAGATTCCAGAGAAGGAAAACTGACGTTAGGATGCAGAGTGCTATTACCCTAAACCCACAGGCGCAGCCGCCAAAAGATTGTGCTCCCCCCGTGATAACAGAGGAGCACCAAGCTGCTTTGCCTCCATTTGAAACTCTTCAGAAGGACAAACCACACACCTGTCTTGTCACCTGGTCAGAGCTGTGCAGGGGTTAGAAGTCTAAAGAGCTAAGGTTGAGTGGAAGTTCTTGCTTGTGAAAACATAGTCCTCTCTGACTACGGGGTGGGGTGGGTGGAGAGCAACCCTTCAATGTGCCTGGACAGAGAATACAAGTCCTGCTGATGGAGAAACTCAAAAGAATCAAGTGGGGAAAAAAAAAAGAATCAAGTGAATACTGTGTTTAGAAAAAATATAGTGTATTTTAAAAGCATTTGAGTTGCATTGACTGTACCTTGAACTGGAGATAAGGCAGAAAGAAAACAGAAGTGTTTTCTTTCCTTCCTCACCGGGAGAACCTGGGTGATAACCAGGGGCCACCCTGCAATTTTTTAAATTGACATATAATTTAGATACACCAAAGAACATACATCTTAAGTTTAAAGCTGAAGGTTTTGGCAAATGTATACACCTATGTCCCAGATCAAGATAGAAAGCATTTCCAGCAACAGAAGTTTCTTTCATAATCCTACCACCACCTCAAAACCATGCTTCCGTTCCTAGGCTGTAGCTCGGTCTGCTCTAGAATTGCATATGAACAGAGATATGTTGGTGTCTCCCTTCATTCACATGCATTTTTGAGGCCTACCCGTGCTGTATTATCAGCAGTCGGCTCCTTTTCATGCCTGTGTCGCAGCAATTTATTTCCATGGGGATATATTTTAGTTGGTTTGTCAGTTCTAGTTCGGTGGACCTGTCAGTTCTTTCTAATTTGGGGATTATTCTGAACAATGCTGCTAGGAACATTCTAGTCTAGTACAGGTCTCTTGGTAGACACAGGCACCCGGTTTTCTCAGGCTTATGCCCAGACTCGAATTGTTGGGCACTGGGGTATGTGTGTGCTTATCCATAGAAGGAGCTGCCAAACCCCTTTCCAAGGTGGCAGTACCCATGTGAACTCCCACTAGCAACTAGGTGAGAGTCCCCTTTGCTTCACACCCTACTCCTGCCTTTGATGGAGCTCAGAAGCACCAACATTGCCAGCAATTTCCTGTGGGGTTCAAATGAAGAAAAATGACATCTTTTATGGTCAAACTCCCTTCTGAGAACTGTGAGGTTGGAGGTGTTTGGAAGCCAAAGAATGAACTTCTCTTTCTCAAATGGGTTAAGGAAAGTCAAGGGGTATGGGACTGAATGGGGTTACTATGCCTCAGTGACTTTGAAGCCTAATGTAGCCCCTAGAAATGTCCATGGCGGGGGGGGGGGTCCTCTCTATAGACCCAGACCCTCTTTATGGGGCCAGTGGCTGCCTATCATTTTTGGGGAAACATCCACACTCCTTACTGCAGCCTTTAGGATGCAGTGCGACTGGGCCTTACTTCCCTCCTTGCCCTGGAGTCTCACTTGATGAATTCAGGCACACCTGCTGGCCACCCCTGTGTAGTTTCTTGAAAATGCCCATCTGGGCACTGTGCCACCTTTGTATAGTGTTTCTGCTTCCTGAAACACACAACTCTTACTTGTTTGTTCCCTGCTTAACTTGATGCTATCCCTCACTGCTTTGCTTAATTATCTCATCTCAGAGGAATATTCTTGAATGCCCAAAGCTGAGCCAGCTCTTCCTTTACATGTCTTAATATATTCCTTATTTTTCCATTCATGGGATCTACCCAGATTGGTCATTAGATTACATCAGTTGTTCATTTAGATCTTGTCTTTGTGTCAGGGTCAAGATCTGTAGAGTCATTTCTGTGTCACCGGAGCCTGGTACAGTGCCTGGCAGACATTAGTGATTATTAAGCAATTGCTGGATGAAAGACAGAACATTGGTGGCTGATGACTCATGGATTGGTGAGCTGGATGACTTCCAGGTGTTTCCTGCTGTCTTCTCCTTGCTCTGTGTCCTGGAGGCTGCCTCTATGGAGTGTCTCGCTGGACTCCTTGCACTTGGCCTTCTGTTCTGGACACCAGAGAGTGGGAGGAGGGATGGAGATGTTGGAGAGTTTTTCCCAGGCTCTCTTCTCTGCTGTGGTTGGGCAATGTCTACCCTTCTCTGCAGAGTGCTCCTCTCAAGCAGCTCCGACCCACTGTCCCAGATCTTTCCAGAGCTTCCTAATAGCTTCCTCCCTCCTTTATTCAAGCCACAGGGAAGTCAGAACTTTCAGCTGCTGCTAATCCCTAGGAGCTCCAGCAACTGTGGTGGGTTCCCTTAGCCCTACCCACACCTATTTGATAAGCCCTTTGAGTGGGGGCCACTGGGGCCCTGACAGGTGCAGCCGGTCACTGGACTCCCTGAGGGAGGGTGGGCACAGTGGACCAGGGACCTGCTCTGTGGGGGGATTTGCTAGACCTTTGTTGTTTTTTTGTTTGTGTTTTTTTTTTTACTTACATAGCAATAAATATTTTATTATTTTTCTTTTTTTTCTTTATATCTTTTACATCATTGTGTAGTCCCCATAAATTTCCCACCACCAATTCACCCGTGCACCGTCACCATAGTCCCTCCCCCTACTCTCCCCTGTTTTGGTCCCTTTTCCTCCTCTTCCCTCGCAGAATGTCTCTGATTTATGGTTGCCTGCTAATTTTGTTGTTGTTGTTGTTTTAATTATTACTATTGTTATTACTATTCTTTCGCTAGGCCTTTGGCACCTACCTTTTCTACCTGTCCTCCTAAAGGTGAGGAGGGTTTTGGGTCCTGTAGAGTAAAGAAAATATCAGGCTTTTCTGCCCTTCCGCCATCAGGATAGATGATGGATCCTTGTCCTGAATGCATGCCTGATGGCGGGCACCTGGAGTAGGGTGTGGGCAGAGGTAGATGGGATTCAGCTGAGCTAAGACTGTGCTTTTAAGGGCGGCTTCACAGGGACGCCAGCAGCAGCAGCAGCAGCAGCAGGAGCAGCAGTAGAAGCCGAAGCAGAAGCTGAAGGAGCAGCAGTAGAAGCAGCAGAACGAACGCCAGAGAGCCCAGATAGAGTAAAGACTTGCTGGGGGCTGGGAGGCCCCCCAGCCAGCACCCCTGCCTGCCATATGCCCGGTGAACCCCAAATAAAAAACCTGCAAAACTACTGAGGACTCTGACTCCTCCTTTACCCGGTCTGCATGGGATCAGAAAACCTGCACTGTGCCCAGTCCTGCCCTTACCTTACAGGTCCTTATCAGGAGAGGGTTTTGGTCCTCTAGTTCTTCCAGCATGGGGTTTTGCAGGGATACTAACAGCAGCCAGTGCATTCTGTGACTTGCTTGTAGTTTTGGCCTGAGGTCTGGGAGGTCCTTAGAGGTAATCCGTGGGTCCTAAGGCCTACAGTCTCCTCGGTTCATCAAGGAATCAGGGAAACCTTCTCACTGAGTGCCCAGTGGGGCTTCGTCTGGTCAGAGATCACTCTAAGGGGTAGAACTGAAAAGAACAGGGTCTTCCTATTCCCTTAGGTGAGAAGCGATTCCTATGCTTGCCAGTTCCCCAGCTCTGCGCTAAGGCAGGTGGTGGTCAGCCTTGTCTTCGGGGGACTCGGGCAGGCGGATCTGCTCAATCTGAGGACAAACTTTGCAAAGTTTGGAATCTCTAGAAAAGGGAAGAGGGCTTTGTTGGTGGGGAGGGTGCCCCTGGCCTCGGGTGGACACGGGTGGGGCCTCAAGTGAGGGTTAACCGAGATGAGTTACATCTAAGTCCTTTTCAAATCTCGGATCCCACAATTAATTCTAGAAATTGCATCCAATTGGAAGAACACCCTCTCCTGTTCAAGTGAGAGTCAACCCAAAGGAACACAGCATCTGAGCCCCATCAGGAAGGCTGAGCACTCTTGCCACACTCACCAGTGCTTGGGGGCAGACCCACTGGTATCTGGCAGGAAGGCCCACAGTGGGCCAGAGGGACCCCAGGTGGCCCAAGGCAAGGCCAGCTCAGCACCCTCTCCTCTCTGGGGCACTGAGAAGGCCTGAGCTTGTGCCAGCTGTTTGCCCTTGGAAGGAAGAGGAGGTTAGCACCTGTGGGAAAAGTCACTCACTGGCCACATGTTGGCTGGTAAGAGGGTCAGGACCTGGGGGAGATCTGCCAGCTGGCCCAGAGGCTGCTCGGGGGCTGAGTGGGGCTTGCGTCCTCTCCTCCCACACCCCACTTCTCATTGAAATCTGTCTGCACCTCACCTTACACCTCTTTTATCTGTCTCCTCCTCTCGCTTGCCTGTCCTGGCCCTTGAGCAGCAGGCCTCACCCCTCCCCAGGCCCAAAGTTCCTCCTTGGGTGGCTCCTTGGAGCCTCCATTCATTTTTCTTTTGTGACCACAGCAGCATGCTGGTGCTCTTCCAGCCTGGAGGGCACAACAGTGACCGGGAGGCCTCTTCCTGTCCTGTCCTCATGGTCCCTGGAGCAGACACCACCTACAAATAACTACACAATCCCAAGTGGTCAAATGTGCAAAGAAGAAAAAGCACATCCAAGAGGCCTTGTATGCTGGCCACCTACTTCGGCTTTATATAAAGAGAATGACTTGGGGGTGTGTTCAGGGGGAGGGGTCAGGATGTAGCTGGAGTCCAAACTCCTAAGCCAGGCCTGGAAGGTTGGCCTCTGTTGTAGGTTGAGTGTGTCCTCACCCCAACCCCTCCAGGATATATTGGCATCCTAATCCCTGGAACCTCTGAATTCACCTTGTTTCGCGATGGGGTCTCTACAGAGGGAAAATGAAGTCATTAGGGTGGTTATTTCAGTATGAGCCACAT